CTCCAGTGACATATGCTTTTTTCAAAGCTAAAGGGGCAACATCAACAGTGTTCTATAGGAAGAGAGGACAAAGCTCTTTCCACTTTCCTTCTATCATCTGAGAAGAGCAAGGCTTCTGAACCAGCTGTTTCTCACCTTTTTCTAATGCTTCTAATGGCCATGATCCTCCTCATCTCTGAACCTTTGTTCCACACAGCTTCCCACCTAGAACATTTCTCTCCCTGACACATTGCCCTTCATGGCCCAGTCCCTGGGGCCTCCTAGCAACCCTTCACCTATATGTCCCACGTGACAGCTTCAATCCAGAAATTTCCTTTCTGGACTCAGAATGGAGAATCCCGTCAATATGTCACTGTTGATAAAATAAAAATGTCCCAAGGCAGGCTGCCACATTCATGGAGGCACCATGGACCAACATTCCAGGAGAAGAGGCAGTGGGCATGCATGGGATCACTTCAGCCCACATAGGGCTTTCCAGGTATTTCCTTCTTTTTCTCAAGAGTATGTGCATATGAGTAAGTAGGTGCACATGTGTATGCACCTCTGTGGAGGCCAGAGGACAGTCATAGGTGTTGTTCCACAGGTGCCATCCACCTGGTCTAAACAATTTTTTTTTTGTTATTTAAAAAAAAAGTATGTTTTAATTGCATGTATGTAAGTGCACCTGTGTCATGCATGCCCACAGAGGTGAAGAGGGCATTGGATTCCCTGGAACTAGAGTTATAGAGAGTTGTTAGCTGCCATGTGGGTGCTGGGAACTGAACCTGGGTCCTCTGCAAGAATGGCCAGGGCTCCTAACCACTGAGCCATCTCTCCAGCCCCTAGTGTTTTTTTTTGTTTTTTGGAGTCAGTCTCTCACTGATCTGGAACTCAGGAGCACCAGGGCTCTCTGTCTCCCCAGCACTGACTGAAATTATAAACACACACCACCACACCCAGATTTTTTACATAGGTTTGGGGATCAAACTTGGGTCTTCATGCTTATGAGACTTGCACTTTACTGACTGAGCCATTGCCTCTGTCCCTGAATTTTTTTCTATGTGATCTGATGTATAAGGCTATGTATAAACTGGTTATACATAAGTCTGAGCTATGTGAGTACAGGCCAGGATCATTCTGTTTGGATAGAACCAGTTGCTCTCTGACTTTTTTGGAGCAGAGAGATGAGGGAAAAATCTAACACTGAGCCTAGGGTATTCTTGAGGAATCCTGTCCACTCTATTCAGTGCTATGGAATTTTCTGGGGGCTACCAACCTTCTGTCCTCAATTCCATGCCAGTCAAACACTGGGAACTAACTGTTTAGTCAAGGACAGACTGTAGTAGAGTCCCACTCTTGGGCCAGAGACACAAAGCTCCTGGTCAGGGCTTCCTGGCTACCTGAGGAGGCACCAGGCAGTGCCATGATGCTTGTCATAAAGGCTCATGGGCCAATATTAGGAGGGATGGCCATGGCCTCACTGGACCACCCACACCAGAGCCAGCATGCAGCAGCTGTCTCTCTGAAAGGACAACTGACCTTATGCTGGTGGACACAGAGAGGACTTGTAAGCCACTCTTTGGGCCCACTGTGTGGGAAAAGCAGGGTGTCTTATGCTTCATCCAAGGAGACTGGGCCAGCTTTTTACTTGCACAGTCTGATAAGATCCACAGAAGCCAGAGTGAGACACAGGCAGAACACCTTGCTAGCTACTGTCAGGAAAGGCTCTGGTATCAAGTGCGCAAGCAGAGGGCATGGGTGGCTCTGGCATCGGCCCTCCATGATGCCAGAACCTGTGTGACTAATGTCACACATAGAAGGCTCTCCTTCTTCCCTTTTAGACCTGCCTCTCATCTCTCCTTCCCTTGGGGCCAAAAGATGAATAAGCCCAAGTAACCGTGCATATCAAATTAGCTTTAAGGAGTGAAAAAGAAAAGATTACCCAATGGTGAGTAGATCCTATCTAAGAGTACCCCCCCACACCTACCTCAAGATCTGTGTCTTTAAAAAAGTCTGAATTGGGCTTAGTCACATGAGCAGGAGAATCTAAATTCGACCTCCCAGAACCTAGGCAAAAAAAGCTGGGTACAGCACTGGGAATCCCAGCACTGGGAAGATGAAGACAGGTGGATCCCTGTGGCACACTGGCCAGACAGACTGGCTCCTGAGGAATGGCATCCAAGGTTGACCTCATGTACATAACCCCCCGACCCCCAGCCAGGTTACCATAAACTGACACTGGTGGCTGAAAATGGCATCAAATTTCCTTAGTGTCCCAAAGCTCAGATTCTTTGGTGACAGCCATAAAGCGTCATGTCCACAGAGACAGCTGGAACTCAGCCTTTTTTCTTATCAGAGAGGTTGGAGGATGAGTCACTGAGGATCAGAGTCCATGAGAACTCCTGATCCTCCTGCCTCTACCTCCAGAGTGCTGGGAGCACAGATATGTACTACTGCACCTAATTTCATGAGGGTATAGAACCCAGGGCTTTGTGCATTTTAGACAAGTGCTGTACCAACTAAGCCACATCCCCAGGAAGGAATTCTTTGACAAGAAGGGTCCCCAGTCAACATTTTACCCTTTGACAAGTAGGGCTTTGATTGCCACTACAACCAAGCACAAGAGCCCTTTCCTTAGGCTCCCTAGTTCTGGGATGACCCAGGAGACTTCAGTGAAGGTATGGCTGGCTGGATAGAAGGCAGATCTTTCCAAGTCCTTGTACCCTGTGTCGGGGAGGTGTCCTCACCACTGTCTAGGAACTAACTGAGCCATGCTACATACCTCCAGATAGGCCTGTTGGGGATCCCAGAAAACAGAGAGTCTTTCTGAGTTGAGAAGCCTCCGAGACAGGCTTTGTAGTAGCCATAGCAAGAGGTAATCAGAATTTTATGGGACTCTCTGGACCATAGGGTTCTTTCAGAGGGAGTAATGCTGAAAGCTACCAGAGATGCTAAACTTTGCAGAGTCATTTATTTCAAGGATTTAACAATATCACCATTACAAAATGATTCCAGTTTTGGAGCTTGGAATGTAGCTCAGTTGGTAGCCTGGACTATGTGAGACCTTATCTTAAAAGAAAAAAAAAAAAAAAGAAGCAAGATGGCTCAGCTGATTAAAACTGTTTGCCGGCAGGCTTTACAACCTGGGTTCAATTCCTTGGACACATGGTGGAAGGAAAGATGAACTCTCCAAACTGTCCTCTGACTTCCACATGCGCATGCGCACACACAAAACATTAAAAAAACAAAACAAAAACCTTTGAGATCTGTTTGTACATAGAAAAGATTTCAGTTGGGGTTCTAAGCGCTGTGAAGCTGAGGGACACTTTGTGCTTTATTTAGGGGTAAAAGGCTCTGATCTAGGATCAGCCCCACCATGCGAAGGATTTCCCAGCTTTGGATGGGCACCTGATGTTCTGTAGTTCAAGAGTGAACTCCCATTGGAGCAGAAGGCCAGGCTAGTTTATCACTTGCATGTCACAGAAGCCCAACACAAACAACCGACCCTGCCACTCTCCCAAAGCAAACCAGAACACTGAAACCCCACAAAGCCTTCAGAGGCGAGCTCTGCTGGCACGGCTGAGCTCTGACTGTGTGTATGTGGGTCTGGGATCTTGCAGCAGCAGCTGCCACACCCAGGCCTCCCAGCTGTTCCCCTCTGTGCACATGTGTCCCCTCATAAGCCTTCTGGCAAGCTGGCAGGCTTCATGCTCTTTACTTAGCTTTGTTTGTGTTTTCAATGAATCAATGGGATATGGAGACTAATCAACATGTTTAGAAAAATAGAGAAGGAAAAAGAAGAGCTCATGCTGCTGGCTGTTCTGTGGAGCTGGGAGAGGAAAGCTGGGCTGTGACTGTGAGCTCAGTGCAGGAGGACACTAGTAGGAGTCTGGGAACACTGGCTGTACTCAGCTGGGGTGGAAGAGAGTCCAGGCACTGTGGCTGGGGGCCTCAGGACATGGCTAACAGATCTACCAGGTACCTCTGAGACCTTGGGGGTCTTGGCCTACACTGGCTGCATTCCCCACTTGTTTCCAATCTCGGCCCCTTTTGCTTCCAACCCCACCCCAAGCTGCTCCCAGGGTCCACTCTTCCTTGGCTGCTCCATTTCTGGTGTTTCTAATCTTCGTACTCTCTTGTTCAAATGCCTCCCAGGTCTTCTAGAAGGAAGAGCTATCCCTCCTATGACTACTGGGACAGTGATATCTTTGGCTTGTCTTCTCCTGCTAGACTGGAAGCCTGTGAGTGCCAACTTTGCCTCTTGACAGCTCCTGGCTCCAAAACATAGCTCTTAGGCTAAAGTTAAGAGCACTGGCTGCCCTTGCAGATGACTGGGTTCAGTTCTCAGCACCCACATGGTGGCTAACAAATGTCTATAATTCCAGCTCCAGGGGATCTGATGCTCTCTTCTGGCCTCCATAGGCATTGCATACACAGGTGCAATTACATACATGCAGGTAAAACACACACATAGGAAAACAAAAAACAAAACAAAACAAAACAAAATCAAAGCCCACAAGGCTTTATGCTTAGAAAACAATAGACCAACCAGTGAAGGGATCCCAAGAGGGCATGAACTTCACAGGAATTCCTCTTCAGCCATCAGCTCTTTGGATTGCCATCAGAAAGCAAGCCCAGGAGGGATAGAGTTTGCAAGCAGGATGCTGCATTCTCTCTTTTTATTGTCATGGCAACTTTATGTATAATAGTCACAGTGCAGAGATAACCTCAGTGCAATCCAAACTGTGGTATAGCCACATCAGGGGAACACTGCTCAGGTATGAAAAGGAACAACTATCCCCACACACAGCTTGAGTGTATCTCAAGGATATTGTCCCTAGCAGAAGAAGCCAATTCCTGAAAGTCATTTCTTATCTAATTCTACTTACAGCACATGCTTGGATGATAGCCGGTAGAGGTGGAGAGGAGGTAGTGTTTGCTGGGGTTGGGAATGAAAACATATACTTCCAGATCCCCAGAGGTAAGAGGAGGTAGCAAACAGAAAAAAATGAGCTAGTTACCTGAGCTCACACAGCCCTGCTGGAGGGGGTCCTGTAGTGATGTCACCGAGTGGAGGACTGAGGAAGAAAAAGGCAAAGTTATGTGGGGAAGCAGGGTTTGGAGCACCCTAACCCCACAAAAGACACAAGGGAGAGTAGGAGACCAGAGGAAAGGAGACCTTCTGGTTAAGCTGAGGGCCAAGATGCCAGTGGGATGGGGTTGCATGGGCCTAGAAAGTGCCAGAACCCTGAGCTGTGAGTAGACAGCAGTCATTGCCTGCAATGTTTTAACTCCTGAAGAGGCACTGGCTGGGCTTCCTTTCAGATCCCTGATGAAGCTACTTAACTTTTACCTATATTTATATAGAAACAGCATCTTCTTAATTAGTAACTCATTTTCTGCTGCTTATAAAATTAACCAGGCATAGCCTGTTCATTCCTGAAGTCTGAAGACAGAGCCAGGCACGGTGGTGAATGTCTGTTAACCTATTACTTGGGAGACTAAGGCAGGAGGATTGTAGGCTAGAGGTCAGCCTGGGCTACATAGTAATTTTGAGGCCAGCCTAGGCACAATGATGAGTTTCAGGTCAGTCTTGGAAATACAGACACACCATGTCTCACCATCTCCCACCAGTAAAAAAACAAAAAAAAACTGAAGTCAGGTCCTTGGTTAGGGGCTGTCTTTGAAACAAGAATAGCTGGCTGTGTCCCACACTGACCTGTCTCTCTCTGCCTGCCTAGGGTATCTGTCCTCACCTGGCCCTGGCTGCTGCCCCTGCACGGGCAGCACACCCTGGCCCAGCTCGCCATTCAGCCAGAGCTGCATCCGGATGAAGGGTTCTCGGCCTTTCTGGGTCAGCTTGCTCCATGGCTTTGGCCGTGATAGCATGTCACTGACGCTGCCCTGGGACAGGCCCAGTACCTGGAGGGGCAAGTAGAGAAATGTGGGAATCAGCATGTACGTATCAGCATGGCAGTTCAGGTGCTTTAGAGACAGTAACCCTGAAGGGTGTGAAAGAGAGGAGCCCACATAGGAAGAACAGGCAGGGCTGATTTCTGAGTACATGACCACAGTTTTACCAGATCACTGGTAGGGTAAAGTCCTGGCACTGGGCAAAAGGGGTTCTGGGCAAAAGACATTATTATAATCGTAACTCCTGTTGGGGTCTGGCTCAGCAGCAGAGCACCTGCCTACAATCCCCCAGTGAGGGGCTGGGGACATGCCCAACAAGTACAAGGACATGGGTTCCATCTTAGCATGAACAAAAACAAAAAAGAGAAATTACAGTCATGGCTTATAGGGAGAGGGGTGTGAAAGGGGGAGGAGAGTAAAAGGGAGAGGCAAGTTCTCTCCAAGGTCAGGATCCCAGAGATGCTGCTGCGGGGTTGCCATCTTGAAAACTGAGGAGCAAACAATGGAGAACATCTTGCTCTTTGTTTGGTGGTACTAGGATAGCTGGGTTACTAAGTCCAGAACTCCTTGGAAACAGGAATTTGGAGATGGTGGAAGGGCATGGGAACGTGCTCCTGTGTTGACAAGGGGGCCAGAGGGGTCTTTCTATTTGATTATACCCTGCTCACAGATTGACCGGAGGTGAGCTGGTGGGGATGGGGAGCCACTGTGGGAGCAACACTGAGCTGCAGGCAACCGGCAACTTACATGCACACACCCAGGCTCCTGCCGCTTACATATGGCCATGCATATGTATGGGCACAAACACCCCCCAGGACGCAGATGTAGCCCAGAGATATTTAGGAGCCTCATCCCATCCCTCTGCAAAGTTCTTCAGTTCCAGAATAAATGGCACTCAAGGGCCAAACAAGTTCAGTGTTATTAAGTCTGCTAAATTTAAGGCGGGAACACAAAAAATCTATTTCAGTGTTCCCAAATGATATTTTTATAGTGCTGAATTCAAAAATTTCCCATAGACACACCCCCATCAGTTTTTGCAAAATTGGGACAAAGGTCAAAGACCATCTAGCAGAGGGGTTCAAAGCCAACCTGGATATGAGACAGGTCAGGGCAGGGTGGTGTACTATGGGGCTGTGACAGCCATTGCTGATCCAGTTCCATGTCCCCTCAGGAAGGCTGCCTCCTGGTTCTGGGAAGCACTTCTCTTTATATTCAGCAATTCATGGCTTACTTTCTAATGATATAGGTAATTCTGTTTATTTTAGATTTTGTAGGCATGGTAAATCATGCTATCCTGAATCTGCCATTAAAAAGGTCTGGAAGGTCATCCACAAACAATTACTATCTCATGAGACAGGGGAGAGGTGATATGGGAAACAGGGTAGCCATAGCTGCTTCTGTTGGGCCCCTGACTGGAGAGTCATGGGTACCCTTGGAGTTACAAAAAAAGCAAGTAGGAACCAAATGCATCTCAAAACAAAACAAACAAACAAAAAAAACAAAATAAAAAAAGAACAAAAAAATGAAAGAATAACCCCCCCCCACTCAAACAAACAAACAACCAACCAATGAAACAAAAACTAGAAAAGAAAAAGAACAACTCCCCCCCACCCAAAACCAAGGAACAACTATGCTCTGTGCTACTTTTTCTATGAAGAACACTCTGGTTCTCAGAAGGCTATTGTCCTGGTGTGAGCATCAGAACAGACCTTTTGGCACCAAAATGGCCTCAGAGGTGCCTCTGCTTCACAGGGCCTCAGAGGCAGGGCAGGGACTGGGTTACCTGTGGGCTTGTGGCAGGCAGCTAATACCCCTGGACTGGTGCTTCCTCATCTGCTGTGTGACAATCTTACCTGCCACCGAGGCACAAAGGAGGGCACCAAGTGGGTAGCCAAGCCCAGAACCTGGCCCAGGGGACTCAGCAGATGGTGTTGGGCTGCTGTCACACTTGCCAGGGCCCTCTGGATTTCTGGGAGTCAGTGACACCTAATATTTCTATGATGGCCACACCATGCAGGGAGGATGCTTGGTCCCCAGACCTGAGAAGAGATGAGAAGTCATATCCCCCAGTGAAGTCCCTTACCTTCTCTCCAAAGATCCTCTGGCAAATGCCGTTTTTGGCCAGCTTCTCTTTGACCTGGCGGGTAAGCTCGATGGTGTCCACTTCCTGGTACATGTAGACCTCGTACTGCTCAGGGGTCAGCGGGGGTACTGAAGGCTTGGCGGGCTTTGCCATGGGCACGATAGGGGAGGAGGGCAGAGGACTGTTCTGGGGTGTCTCACTGCGGCTGGCTCCAGTGAGGCTCAGCTCTGAGCTCTGGGAGTATGGTGACTCGGCATTGGGCCACTCCTTCCAGTACTCTGATGAGGAGGGTCCCTGAAGCTGGCTGCGGTCAGCCCGAGGTTGGCTGCCGCTGGCTTTTTCTTTCCCACTTGTAGCAGCTTCATCAACCTTGGTCTCTTCAGAAGAGGTGAGGTTTCTTCTTTCAGGCTGTATAGGGCTCCACCAGGGGTCCTTCCACGTGCTCCCACGGCCCAGCTCACTCTTCACCTGCCTCAGGACCCCCTGGGCAGCATCGGCTGCTCCCTGCATGTCCATCCCGGGTGCATCCTGAGCCTCCTTTTTGAGGGTTGGAGTGTTGGGCAGGGCCGAGGTAGTGGCCTCTGAGGTTTTCTTCAGGGAGATGGCAAGAGGGGAGTAAGTGGACACGGCAGACATGGGTGAGGCAGACAGTAGCTTAGGGGTGAGGATGGCGAGGTCAGGTTGGGGCAGTGGTGCTGGCTTTAAGGCAGGGTCGAGGGCGGCCTGCTGGGCCTCCATTTCCCGGCGGGCCTGCTGGAGGATGGAGCGGATGGCATCATCGGAATTCCCACTGCCTGATGCAGAAGACGGCTGGACTGGCTCTGCTGTGAGGGGAAACACAGGGTGAAATTGTAGCAGGATGGTCCTAGCTGCTGTGAGCTTCATCCCATTCTGAGCTAGTAGAGTGTGGATTATCTGGGAGCCATTTCCCCAATAAGGAAACATGAATTCTCCAGAGGACTGATGCTCCTGCTCCATGGCCTAAAAGCTGGTCACACAGCAGCCTGCTATCTGATGAGTGTGATGAAAGGGGACATACCCCATCCACCTTGCCTTGCTTTTTTTTTAATACGTATTTTTTTGAGACAGGGTCTCCTTGTATCCCCAGGTGCCTGGAACTCACTATGTAGACCAGACTGGCCTTGACTCACAGAGATCCACATGCCTGTGTCTCCTGAATACTTGAATTAAAGGCATGTGACACCATGCCCGGCTCTTTTACATGAAAAAAATTTATTTATTTTTATGTGTATTGCCTGTGTGTATGTAAGTGCACCTGTGTCATGCAATGCCTGTGGAGGCCAGAAGAGGGCGTCATATACCCTGGAACTGGAGTTACAGAGGGTTGTAATCTGCTATGTGGGTGCTGGGAACCAAACCTGGGTCTTTTGCAAGAGCAGTCAATGCTCTTAACTGCTGAGCCATCTCTCCAGCCCCATCTTTTACATTTTAAAAATTGTTTTTTTGTTTTTTTTTTTTTTGTGTGTAGGGGTGTGTGTTGGTCTGTGTCCCTTTGCCACTGTGTAAGCCAGGCTAGCTGGAGATTCTCTGGTTTCCACCTCCTGAAACCCTGTGAGAGCACGCTGGAATCACACACTCTGCACCATTCTATCTGGCTGTTATATGGATTCTGGGGATCCAAACTCAGGCCCTCCAACCTTTTTATCTTTTTATCTCCCTAGCTCCACCCTGCTTTTCTTTGCTGGAGGATAAGCTTACTGCTAATTGTCATGTGTCACATACCCACAATTCTCTTGGTTTTACAGAACTTTGGAAATATGACTTCTCATAACTAGAGGTCAGAGTCTCTGAGGGGTCAAAGACAGTCTCTTCTGGTGGATACCAGGGTGTGGTCAGCAGCAGGGAGAGGAAGGGAGGGACCATGAGGTCATGACAAGTCTCTGGCCTAAGAACCTGTGGGCTATTGCAGGGGAAGTCTCACGGTACTGTTGGGCCTCAGCATTTCCACAGATGATGTGGGACAGCTGAGGGATTAGATCCATGGCTTATGCACTTGGAGCTAGGGATATGGCTCAGTGGATGGGGTGCTTGCCTAGCATACATGAAGCTGTGGATTCTATCCCCAGAACCAAGTAAAACTCGGCTTCAGACATTCAACCCTACACAGAGCTGCTAAGGGTTGTTTCACCCATTCTTCTTCAGTTCCATTTGGTAACATGTGATGATGACCAAATAACAGAAGCCATTATTTCACTTACAAAAAAGATATTTGGAGGCTGGAGAGATGGCTCAGCAGTTAAGAGTGTGTGCTGCTCTTGCAGACCAGATTTCAGTTCCCAGCACCCATGTTCTATGACTTACAACTGCCTGTAACTTCAGCTCCAGGGGATCTGATGCCCTCTTCTAGATTCTAGCACTTCGATTACAAGTGTATACCACCATGTCTGGCTCCCACTTGCAAGAGCAAGCACTTTACCAAATGAGCTTTCTTTCTTTTTAAACATCTAGGGCTTTTATTTCTTCTTGTACATTAAGCCATGAATTCATAGGGAATGGGCTCCAGCAGCTCAGGCTCCTTTCCGTTAGTTCTCACAAAGTGTGCTTCTCTGGGTGGGGCGGGCTGGTGTTTCAACTGAACTCAGGTCCCTTTCTCTTTGGCTTCCCTTTTTTTCTGGTCATTTTCCTTCACGTGCTTCAGGAAGCTGTCTCGGCTCTTAGAGTGCTTAATATGCTCAATATGCACATTAATTCTCTTGGCAAGAATCTTGCCCTTAACTTGCTTGTTTACAACAATGCCAACAGCATGCTGAATGATGTTGTAGACTCTCCCAGTTTTGCCATGGTAGCATTTATGGGGCATTCCTTTTTGAACAGTACCCATTCCCTTAATGTCTACAATATCACCCTTCTTGTAGATTCGCATGTATGTGGCCAAAGGAACAAGTTCATGTTTTCTAAAAGGCCTAGAGAACATGTAGCGGGTGCCTCTCCTCTTTCCCTTGGTGGTTGTCATTTTGGTGAATCACTGGAAGATGGCTGCTCTGGCGGAAAAAGGATGAGCTGTTTCTAATACTGACGAAATGACAATAAAGGTGAATCTGATCACAATGGGACACACCTATAATCCTAGCACTCATGAGGCAGAGGCGGGAGGATCTTAAGTTTAAGACTAGCCTGGGCTGTATAGCAAGACCCTATTTCAAGTAACCCCCCCGCCCCCACAGTTTAGAGGAAAGAAATCTAGATCACACTTCTCTCTGCATATGCTATCCTTTGAAAAAATGTCATTATTGCTGACCAGAACACTCATGATAACTCTCATAACTAGGTCTGATAGGACTGTGCTTGAAGTAGTAGATGCCATACCAGTCTTCTGCACTTGGAGCTCCCTCTTGGCCTGTTCCAGGATGGACTTGATGGCTTCATCAGAGCCAGTTTCTGAGGCTCGGATCCGGGTAGTGATGTTACCTGTGGGGAGAAAGAAATAACAGTGATGGCATCAGAGCCAGACCTCCAGTGGGACACAGTACTGCACCAAGACATCATTCTGACAGTGGGCCCCCAGGGGAGGCTGGTGACTACCAGGAGGTAGGGATAGCCTCCTTGCTGCAAGTGTGACCTCATGGCAGGGAAAGGGAGATGCCCTGTAGGAGGTTTCTTGCTGAACCTGTCTCAGGGTCAGTGTCACTCTGTTGGCTGGACAGGCTTTCCCATCACCTGAACTAAACTTTGCTCATGGGACTGGGAGCAGGGGGGACATCAGTCATTTAGAACAATAAAGGAGGGTAAATTGAAGGCAGTGTTTTCACAAGTCATTGTAAAACTTTGGCTTGGGACTAAATTTATGCTCTGTACATTTATTTTTCCTTAACATAAACATGGAAGGAGGGTAAAAGGTAAAAGGTTGAACCTAATTTTTTTGTGTGTGGTTATGTGTGGTGGTGGGGACTGAACCCAGGGCCATGCTAGGCAAGCACTCTACCACTGAGCCATACCCTAACCCCTCACTGGGGGATTCTAGGCAAGAACTCTACCACTGAACTACATCCCAAGCCCTGGGTAAAACTGATCCTGGATCAGTCATTGGGATGTACCAGGTGAAAAGGGATGAGGTGTACTTCAACTTTTCTAGATTTATGACTGACTGTATACTTTTTGAAATTTACCAACAAGGAGAGAAGTTTTCTGATGCCCCTAGAGGACACAAATGCATTGTTTTGGTCATACGGTGGTCTGCTACATAGCAGACACATGTGCAGATAGGGTACTAGGGTACCATGAGGGTACTAGGGCTCAGGAGCTGGCCCCAGATCTTTCTGGAAGCCATCCAAACATTTTAATTGCTCACTACCTTTCTCAGTAGAAAGCGTCACATTAAATCATTTAATAAAAGGATACCTTGGGGACAGAGCCACTTAAAGGAGCATGGTGGGGTGCTGGCTCACTAAGGCCTATGGAAGAACCACCTGTGTTTGGAACCTGTCCCCATTGTGGGATTTCTGATATATTTTAGAGTTAAAAATCAGAGGAAGCAGCAATATCTGGTTTGATGGTGGTCATCTGATTCTTCTCAGAGCATGATTATTACTCTGTCACTTGCTCTGAGAAAACAAGCATCCCTGGAATGGAGGGGTGCCTGGGATTGGTGAGGAGGGGACTGATCTTGGGAGAGCTCTTCTAACTTTGGCCGCTCATCAGGCGCCTTTGAACCCGTGCTTTGTTTTATACTTACTAGCTGTTTTTCCATCAGGTTCCAGGCCAGAATGACACTGCACAGTTTTAACCCAAATACACAGCTAATGATATGCTGCTTCCTAGTTACTGACTGCAAAGAGAAACACCTGCCTGAGACATACCTTCAGACCCATTTCTTCGTTTCGGTACTTCCTGAAAGAGTCTGTTCAGGCTCTGGCCTGGATTCTCTGTTGAAAAACAAGTGTGGTAAGAACAAAACAATCAGGGGGGTGGTGGCGTCGACAACATGGGCTGTGTGACATGAGAGCTGAGCCGCCTGCTGCTAAAGAAAGGACTGAGGGCTTCCTGTGTGACTTGGGAGTTTCTAGAAGCTTCTTATAGGCCCTGGGTCTACTGTGGATGAGAGCTGACAGACCTAGGTCGAGGCCTTCTCAGGCACTACTGCCAAGAGGGGCAGAGGGAGGGAGAGGTATCTGCAGGCAGTCACCTGACAGCCCAGCCACTGAGCTCACATTAATCATCCAGAGACATCCAATTTCAGTTAACATCACCAGAAAACACTCTGTGTTCTTGGTGAAAATTGATGCTGTTCATTCAGCAAGCATCTCCTTTGAGTTTCAGACTAAATTTCAGGGTGCTTCAAATGTGGCTGAAGACAATGTCCCTCCCTGTTCTTAGGGAGGGAAGGAATTATTTATATTGTGGACTCCACTGGCCTCTTCTCTTTTATGGATGGTGTAGTAGGAAGGAGGGTTGAATGAATCTTGCATGTGGTTTACTGAGGGCATGAGTGTCACTAATGGGACATAATGATGGGAGAAGGTCTCAGGGCTCCTTCTCTTCTTGAGGCAGGGGACAGAAAGCAGCTTTGACAGGCTTACCCCACAGCCAGTGCTGTGTGAGGATGATGGCTGTTCAGTGCTCTGGGGACAGGGATAGATGGTACCCTGATGGGCAGTTCCCACTGTGAGGCCAGCACCTGATGCCAAGTGGACCAGAGATACTAAACCCATGGATGACCTGCATGATCTAACTTCCTCTAATTAAACACAGAGCAAGGGAATGAGTTTACTGAGTGCAAGGTACTGTCTTGACTCCCCAAAGTCAGATCTCCCAGAACTAATGGTTTCTAGTTCCTACTGGTGGCCCCTCTGCTCTAGACAGGGCAGAACTGAAGATCGCTTCACCTGATGTGATGTACGGATGCTTCATCTCACGCACAGATACACAGACATACACATACAGCACTGTGGCAGGCACACATGGGCACTTCTCACCTCTCTGTCTGCCTTGGATGCTACGAAGAGCCAAGATGTTTTGCTCATCAGACAAGAACTGCTTCATCTTGTGGAATGGCTCTTTGCCTCTGACGGTCAGCTTATTCCAGGGCTTTGGCCGTGCCAGAATCTCACTCACAGACCCTTGTGACAGTCCCAAGACGTAATGTCCAAAAATGCGCTGTCCGATGTTGTGCTTGATGAGTTGTTCTTTGACCTGCCGGGCAATTTCAGCTGTGTCGATTTCCTCGCCCTCTGAGGCGCTCCCAGCACTTTCTGACTGGCTGGGAGATGGGGCCATGCCGTTTACATCTGGGCTTTGTTGTAATGGACTTGGGGAAGATATGGAGTTTGTGCTGTAAGGACCTGTTGAAAAAATCGCGCTTGTGCTTCCGGCTTCCTGCATGGCCTTGGAGTAGAAGGACTGCATTAGCTGTCGCTGGAGAAGAGAGTTTAGTGCAAACTTTCCTGTAGAAGCCAGGGGTAGGCTGGGGCTGGCCAGGTTTGAGCTGAAAAAGTCTTGATTTAACCCCGCTGGTGAGAAGTGGTGTGTACCGTTAGTATTGGAAACCTGTTCCCCCGTGTTGCGGGGCAACTGAGGAGGAGGGGAGGCCGGCAAGGGTCCCGGGCGCCGACTCTCAGGCTGGTCTCTCCCTTTTCTCCTGGCTGACCCTACAAGGAAGGGCAAACAGAATGCATTATGGGGGATTCAAAAGGGAAAAAAAACCAAGACCAGAATGCAAAGTGTGCCCCACAAAAAAGTGCAGATTTTTCTTTTCTTTTCTTTCTTTGTTATTTATTTATTCTTTTAAATAAAAAAACAAGGGCCAAAGTGGTGTGTTGGTTTGTTTTTCGATTGAATTTGTGAGTCAGCCAAACGAGGCCCCCCAAAACAAGCCACATGCATTCATGTTTGCACCTTTCTTGTACGTTGCAGCCGGGAGAATCCCTTGACAAAAGTTTTGGTAACACGCGGAAGAGGCAACAGGTCGCTGGGCCTCTAGCATCACAGCCACCCCAAAGGGCCCTGCCTGAGGAGCAGCACACACTGGCACTGGGGACCTGTGGGTTGCCTCACACCACATGCTCTGAGGCGGACAAACCCATAGAGCCCCCTTGATCGAAGGCGCGCACGTTTTAAGACCTGCAATATTACCGAAGCTCAGACAACAGTTACATGCTTTGACCAGCTGCTACACCTGAAAGCAGTCAGTGACGCCACCATTTGAAGATGAACAAATGACAGGCTAAAGATGGGGAAGAACTGTGTCTCAAGAAAAACCTCACAAAGGAAGAAAAGTGCCACTGAGCCCGTGAGGGCTGGCGACCTCTCAAAGCAGGCCCTAGAGATTCCACAGAGACAGGCCACACTCGCTGTACCCCTGTTCACAGCACAACTAGAAAATACCATAAAGCCAACATCCTCAGGGTGTCCCATTTGGGACCCCCACAGACCTGCTATGGCGCACACATCTCGGTCGCAGGATGGGGTGGGGCAGAGCCGTGAGGGAGGGGGACATCAAACACTCGGGGTTAGTCCAAGGAGTCCTTTGTCCCCCAGCGGCGCTCCTGCCATGCACACACAAGCCCAGACGCAAGGTTCACCCTCTTTGTCTCGACCCCTGGAAGCGAACCAAGCACCATACACAACGCCTGTCCACCTACCGCTCAGGTCGCTGTTGGAGATTCGCAGTGCTGCATTCTCAGACTGCAGTGAACGGTTTTTCTCCAGGAGCAAAACCTCCAGGGGCTTGGCTGAGTCCTGCACAGGGCAGACCAGGGATCACCGTGAGGCCACTTTCTCCCTGCTCCCCAGGCTTTCCCATCTGAGCCTCAGTGTCCTTGTGACATGTATCATGGAGTTGACTTCCCCAAGGGAAAGCACTCAAGTTCCTTGCAAAAAGGATTTTAATGGAGATGTTTTCTTTTTAGACATATACAAACATTTCTTTTTCCTATGATGTATATGTATGTGTGGGTGCACTTGCATGTGTATGTGTAGGCCTGAGGCTGATGTCAGGAACATCTTCTATCATATCCCTCTACCTTCCATATTGAGGCATGGTCTCTCAAACAATCTCAGAGCTCACCTAACATGGCTAAGCTCACTAGCCAGCTTGCTCTGGGGCTCCTCTGCCACTACCTTCTGAGGCTGGAATTACAGGTGGACCACCATGCCCACCCAACATTTACAAGGGGTGGGTTATGGGGATCTGAACACTGGTCCTCATGTAGCACTTTAACCACTGAGCTATCTTCCTACTCAACAATTAATTACTTTCTATGCTGCTCCCAAATCTAACAGTCTAAGCTTGGGCCTCATTTGGTGATTGGCTGAGCTGTGGAGCTACTGACCCATTAGAAAGCAACAAGGAACTTGTTTTGCCTCTCATGAATAACTCAGCTGCCTTCTAGGTGGAAGGATCAAGATTACAGTCATGATGTAAGTTTTGTTAATTTTTAAAAACTTTTTTTGTTGTTTTACTTTGCTGTCTAGGTTGGCTTCCCAGGAGCTGGAACTATGGGTGCACCATCATTTCCAGCTTCATGATAACATTTTTTTTTTTTTTTTTTGGAAATAGGGTCTCATGTAGCCTAGGCTGGTCTTGAACTTGTTATGCAGCCCAGGCTGGCCTTGAATTCCTCATGTTCCTGCTTCATTCCTGCGTACTGGGATTACAGGCAGGCGTCACCATGCCTTGATAATGATGTATATTTTAATTGGCCACCAGATGATAGAGTGCCACTATCATATTAACATCCCCAGGCCAAGCTATTTTGGGCTGATTTTTTTTTAAAGACAGGGTCTCCCTGTAGCCCTAGCTGGCCTCAATCTCACAGAGACCTGCCTGCCTCTGCCTACTGAGTGTTGGGATTAAAGGAATGTGCTACCACATCAGGCTTGATGAAATGTTCTTGAGGAATGATTTTGCAGCCATAATCAAGGCCCCCTCATATCAATGTGGAGATGCAGATGCAGGCCTCAGGGACCAGCAGTGACCAGCAGCTGCCATCATGAACCTGGGAACAAAGTGAGCTGGTGTACCTGTGTCCCTGTTCCCTCCGACGGTGCAAACTCCATGGACTTCAGGATGCTGAAATGGCAAGACAAGGTAGTTACTTTTAACCTCTCCCTTTACTAGCAGCCAGGTCAATAAGCATTAATATTCTGGTTTCCTGTTCTACAGGGGCTGGGGTACTAACAACTTTAACTTCTCTGGCAGGAACTGGGTCTGATAATGCTTCTAGAAAGAACTTGTCTTCAGTTAGAAGTTGGCTAGCAAAATGTTTTTTTTTTTTTTTTTTTTTCCTTTCTGCCCAGCATGCAAATCACTCCATATGAAGTCATACCAGGTCTGTTCAAACTATAATTTTAAAGTTTAATACAGACATTGCATGGTGGCAAATGGAATGGATTTGTAACTCTTAGAGGGAATGGAAAGTTCTGGGGGGCTCTCTTAGGAATAATGAGAGACAAAGAGTGGTGTATCACATGGGGATAGCTCAGAAGTGAAGTGAGTAGACCTCTGTAACCCCAGGTCTGATGAGGGGCAAAAGTGTTGCTTCACTGTCCCCTTAGCACCGACATGGGCTGTGGCCACATCACTTGGGGCTCTTGATTGTCTGAACAAGCTGGGAGCCACAAGCAGATCAGGCTCATAGATCTGCTGTTTCTTGTGTTCTCTTTGTGTGTGTTCGTGTATGTATGTGCATGTATTGGCCAAAGGTCAATGCTGAGTGTCTTCCTCTATCATTCTCCATCCTGTTTTTTTTTTGGGGGGGGGATCATTTATTATAAGAGTTAGTAATACCACAGACAGATAGAAAAGCAAACAGAATAGCCAGGGCTAAGAAGGAAGCCCTCAGCAGAGTCAGGGTCATTACAGCATGAGCTTCAAACCACCTTGTTTTTAAAGACATGGTCATTCACTGGATCCCAAGTTGGCTAGATTGGCTGGTCAGTGAGGCCTAGGGACCCTCCTCTCTCTGCCTTCCCAGTTTTGGGATTACAGGCACACACTGCTGGCTTTTCACATGGTGCTGGGAATAGAACACAGGTCCTTGTGCTTGCACAGCAAGCCCTTTACCACCTGAGGATCTCCTCAGCTGCCTCATGCTCTTCCTGTTGTGGATGCTTTTCTTTTTGCCAGGACCAGGGAGAAAAGGGGAATTGAACCTGTGAGGCTCTGAGGAGGCACCAAACATTCCTTACAGTGGGGAAGGTAAGATGGTTCAGTGGGTAAAGGCTCCTGTCGCCAAATCTTATAACACAGTTTGATCCCTGGGACCACATGACAGGAGAAAACTGATAACTGAAAATTGTCTTCTGATCTGCATACATCACACACACACACACAAGAACAACAACAACAATAATAATAGTAATAAATATAGGCTCAGCAAGGCTCGGGGTGGGCAGATCATGCAACCTGTGCAACTGGACTCTTCTGATCTTCCTGTGACTATGATTTTAGTATCTATCCTTCTTCAGGGACCATAGGAGTGTCAAGACCCTGCAGTGCATAGAGCTGCCAGTAGAGGCAAAAGGCTTTTAACTTGCAGTGATGGCAACTAACAAAAACAAGGAGGAACCATGTGGGTGGCCATGTGACTTCATACTCTGCCACAGAAAAGAATAATTCAACTCTGGACCCTTCCCATCACAAGCCATGGGCCACCTGGACACGTGTCTTTTCTTAGCAGGTTCATATTGTTTGCAACTATATCCTTGTACCATCCATTCTGGTCAATTTATGACTTCCCCCAACACACACAATGTGTGAAAGTAGGCAGGTCTGGGTGGATCATGGCACATATATAGAGGCCAGAGGACAACCACGCATGCCAATTCTCACTGCTCACTTTGAGACAGGGTCTCTCTTGTTCTCCCACTGCCTACACAGAGCTAGCTAGCCTGTCAGTGTCTAAGGCTTCTCCTGTCTTTGCCTCCTATCTTTCCAGGATTAGAGACACTGTGCTACACATCCAGCTTTTACATGGGTTCTTGGGATTTGAACTCAGGGTCCCACACTTAATATAGTAAGTGTTCTTACTCTCTGAGCCATCTCCCATGCCCTCACAACTGTTCTTTAGGATTAAATAGGAAAGGTTAAGTGAGTCTATAAATTTAGGTAGGCTGAGTGCCCTAAATATCAAGGCCCCAATTTTTTGAATAACATCAATGTCAAAAATGTTAAGTTCCATGCCATGAAATTTTTTCTTGTGTGTGTGCTGCATTCCTAAGGATCAAACCTACAGCCTTGTACATGCCAAGCAAGCACCCTGTCACTGAGCCCTAGCCTTCATCATAACACTTTTGTTTCATGCACTAAATTATGAAAAGTACTGTCCAAGCCAGGCTTGGTGGCACATGCCTCCAATCTCAGTACTTGGGAGGTGAAGCAGGAAGATTGTGGCATGTTCAAGACAGCCTGGGCTACACATCAAGATCCTGTCTCAAAAAACACAAAAGGCCAGGTGTGGTGGTGCACACCTTTAATCCCAGCACTTGGGAGGCAGAGGCAGGCAGATCTCTGTGAGTTTAGGGCCAACCTGGTCTACAAAGTGAGTTCCAGGCTAGCCTAGGCTACAGGGAGACCCTGTCTCCAAAAAAAAAAAAAAAAAAAAAAAAAAAAAAACAGAAACAAAACACCCCTCACAAACAAGGGGGAATGTGAGATGGATCAGTAAAGGTGCCTGCTGCCAAGGCTGATGGCCCAAGTTCAATCCCTGGGATCTATAAGGTGGAAGGAGAGCACGAACTACCACAAGATGTCCTCTGACCTCCACATACACTATGGCATGTGTGCCTCACCCCATACAAAATAAGTATTTAAAAGTAATAAAAATATTTATGTTTAAATCTATAGATTAGTGCTGCCTTCAGCCTTGGCCAGAGAAGCTTCTTTCTGCAGTGGCCAGTGGTTGATGCAGAAACTCTTAACTGTTCACTGAGAATAAGTAATTGTTAAGTGCTCAGCCCTAAATGAGGTATCTCTATCAACCCACACCACAAGGCACAGGGAACATCATGGAAAAGGGGGCAGAAAAAAATGTAAGAAGCAGAGGATGCAGAGAAGTACTGTCTTCTGGACATGACATGGCTACTGCACTCATAAACTCACAGCAGCTGTGGCTGACTGCACAAGATCAAGCCAGTCAACAGTCTAGCATGAATGGGAGAGGGGCTGATGAGGCTCCACCCTAGTTGAGGAGCTATGGGTAGTTGGACTCAATGGGTTACACACACACACACACACACACACACACACACACACACACATATACACACGCCCACAAAAAAAAAGGAGGGGGGGAAGAAAGGACATGAAGGTGGGAGGACATGTTGTAGGGTAAGGTATGAAGGTTGAGGGAGGGAGCTGAGGTTGTATACAATCAAGATACTCTGTATAATAAATGTATGAAAATTTTAAAGAATAAATAGAAGTCAGGGAGAGGAGTGGCAGTAGGAGGATGGGTTCCTTCAGGAAAGGCTGATGGGAGTATGAATGACTTGGAAGGTTGGGCAGGCATTTCTGGGAGGCAGATGGGGTCCAGAATACAGATGGAAATGCACACAGCTGAAGGCACATAGGCTGGAATCCAGGTTCTTCAATATGAGGTTGAACTCAGAGGAGGGGGGCAGGATGCAAGCCATGGGCTAGGTGGGTAGGTGGGAGGGATGGGGAAGGACCAAGGATGGTCCAACCTTTTTTGGGAGCTGGGTAGGGTCTATGTGGACCTGGCTGGCTTTGAACTCATATAAACCAGCCTGACTTCAAACTTACAGAGATCCACTGTCTCTATTCAGATTAAAGGAGTGAGCCATCATGCCCAGCTTTTTTTGAGATAAGATCTTAACGTAGCCTAGTCAGCCTTGAATTTACTCTATAATAGCTGAGGATGACCTTGAACTTCCGATCAGAATACTAGGATTATGGATGTGTACCACCATGCCTGCCACACACTTTCTTTGGCTTAAAACTAGAATGCTCAGTTCCTTCCTTTTTTGTTGAAACAGTATTATGCTAATGTTGCCCAGGTCCTCTGCCTCAGCCTCCCAAGTGCTGAGATTACAGGGGAGCATCACCAGGCTTGACTTGTTTTAAAATTATTATTATTATTATTATTATTATTATTATTGTGTGTGTGTGTATGTGTGTGTGTGTGTGTGTGTGTGTACACATATGCACCATGCTGCACACATAGAGGTCAGAGGACAATTTTTGGGAGTCAGTTTTCCACCACCGGTTTCTTGGCACTGAACTTAGGTTGTTGGGTTTGGTGGCAAGGGCCTTTACTGGCTAAGCCATCTTTCTGGTCCTTCTTTGTTTTTGTTGAAGTGGGAAGACAGAAAAGAAGGGCAGACTCGGGGAGGCTTGGCAGCCATGAAGGATAACCAGTTAAAGTTGTATCGTCCTTAAGCTGAAAATGGGGTTGGGGGAGTGCTTATGAGGACTGGGGTGATTAGTGGAGCTTAGGAGTTCATCCAAGGAGCTGTATGTAGGCTATAGTGAGAGAGTTTTGGGGACAGATGGAGGGGAGTAGTGAAGGAGCCTCACCAGAAGTTGGAAGGAGGTCATAGCAAGCAAAGGTCAAAGAGGACCACAGGCAGTACTGGATTAATAGAGAGAAACAGAGCCTTGGTGAGCAGGTTCATCTCAAGAGGAGAAAGTGAAAATATCTACAAGATAAGATGCAAGAAGGGACGCAGGCCAGGTGGTCACCTATGGATAGACAAGAGGTGGGGTGCAAAGCCTGAAAGAGGGTGTGATGGTTAACACTGTCAACCTGGCAGGATCTACAATCCCCTAGGAGACACACCTTTGGCATGTTTGTGAAGGAGTTTCTAGACTGGGTTAACTGAGGTAGGAATAAAAAGGAAAAAGGCAGATGAGCACCAGCACTCATGTCTCTGCTTCCTCACTGTGGATGCCATGTGACCAGCTGCCTCACGCTCTTGCCGCCATGCCTTTCCACCATGATGGACTGTGTCCTCAAACTATGAGTCAAAATATACCCTTCCTGGGGCTGGAGAGATGGCTCAGCAGTTAAGAGGACTGACTGCTCTTGCAGAGGATGTGGGTTTGATTCCCAGCACCCACATGGCAGCTACGAACCATCCTTAACTCCAGTTCCGGGGAATCCGAAGCCCTCTTCTGACCTCCGCAACATTGCACAACATGGGTGCACTCACATACATGCAGGCAATATACTCATACACATAGAATAAAAATAATAAATAAAATGTTAAAAAAATATATACCCTTCCTTCCTAAAGTTGCTTTTGTCAGGTATTTTGTCATGGCAACAAGAAAAGGAACTAATAGGGATTCCAGGCAAAGTGGGAGCTTCAAGTACCCATCCCCTCAGAAAGCAGAGGAGCAGGGTGTCTGCAAGGTTTAGCTGGGGTGGGGGATCAGAGAGGCCAAGAAGGGCCTGAGCGGTGTCATGTGTGTGAACTGTGCATCCTGGTATGAAGATCAGCACCTGCAGGGGTCAGTCACAGTAGCTATCTCTCCTGCAGGAATGGAGGGTAAAGACGGGGTACTGGAGATAGGCAGGAGGTTAAGAGGAAGCTGTGTGCACTGTACAGGGACTATTAGATAGCCAGTGAGCTGGGAGCACCATGGCCTGGGATAGGGTACGGCTTGGGAGCTCAGACTCAGGAGAGAAGTCAAAGGGAGGACAGATCAGGAGGCAGCTGGGCCTGAGAGGAGACAGAACAGAGACTTTCTAAGGGTTTGAATGCAGGGCTAGCTCAGAAGAAGCCAGACTTCTGGCAGAGGTAGAATCTGGAAGAAGAGGGTCCTGAATACAGGAAGCCCTGTAGTGTGAAGCTATGGGCTTTCACTGGGAAAAATTTCCCCTCTTTTTCAATTTCTGTTTAGGGGTTTATACCTGAAACAAGCTCTGGCTGTACAATTTCTGTAAGAGCAATATTCATCCTGACTCTGCATGCTAGAATTCTTTACATGCAGTCTTACAAAAGCTCAAAGAAGGTTGGAGATGTTGCACAGTCAGTAGAGCATTTACTGAGCATGTATTAAGCTTTGGGTTCCACCCCTAGCACTGCATAAACCAGGTGTAGTGGCACAGGCCTGTCAGAGATGGAGGCCAGAGGATAAGGAGTTCATGATCACCCTTGTCTACATGCTGAGTTTCAGTTCAGTCTGGGCTACACGAGACAGACAAAAATCCCAAAAGGAACCATGTGAGAGGCTCGAGTGAGAACTTCAAAATGCTGGGTAGTGCTGAGTTTTGGGCCACTGGGCCTTGTCAGCAGATAGTCCTGGACTACTCTGGCTCTGCAGGCCGCACACTGCTCCATACTTACTTCAGTTCTGTCTTCACCTCTTCATAGTCAGCCTGGCCTTTGAGTTTTTCTTCCAGTTGCTGAAAACAGAAGGAATTTTATCAGTGGCCATGCTTTAAGGGAGGTCATGGGATGTCACTGACAACAGACATTCCCTGTGAGCAATTCCACACATAGGGTAGGTAACTGTTTTCCTTGTGCCTCTGATCTGGTACGGGTATATGTGTGTGTGTGCAAAGACACATGACAATCCAAGGTTTTAGTGTAAAACTCAATGACAGTGGGAAGAAAGCTTTACAAAGGTAGAAAACCCCACTGTGTGTAAAATACTGGCACAAACAAGCAGAGTCCTGCTCCTAGCATTTAAAAGACATTGTTTGGTTTTTGCTTAAATGTATTTGGTTGCCTGAAAAGTATAGGTAAGGCTGCAGTTTTGGTAGAATCAGCTCTCAGCTGTTGAGGATGGCACAAACAGGCACCAGGAAGAAAGCCCGTGAGCTCTGGGAACCTGGGATCTTAGGATTGGGGAGTGGAGGCCTATTCTGACAGCTGGACTGATTCCTGTGAGGACAGCTCTCAAAGGGACTCCCTGGTCCCAAGGCCCTCTTGAGGCAGGATAGTACATTTTCAGAGACTGATGATATGCTTAGGTAGTCCACAATATTTTGTAAACTTGCTGGACCTATTCATTCCTGGTTGTCCTGTTAGGCTTTCCTGCAGGGAAGAGCCATTGGGGTTGGGTGGTCAGTCTCGGATGTTTCCTTCTAAGAACCTGTTTACCTTTGAGCCTCCAGGGAGATGAGGCCACTCTAGATGAACTGAGAGTCTGCAGAGCAGGGTCCTGGTCAGTTAGCATGTTTTCAAGATTGAACTGAACAAATTCCATAGCCTCAGCTGTTGGCACCTTAATATCTATGGGGCTTTAGGTATCTTTTCAGGCTCTGCCTGAGACCAGTAGAGAACATTCTAGAGTTTGAGGAGAGACCCACATGGCCCATCAGCATCAGAGCTCATCTTAATTGGAACCTACCCAGAGTTCTGCTGTAGGCCTTTGCTTTCATTCATCTATATCCACTGAGCCCATCTTCCATAGCCTCTGCTGGCAATTTCTTGTGTATTTTCCATTGCATAAAATTGTTCTGCTTCGTTCCCTTTTAAAGATCTCTTGCCAACTTTATAAATTATAATGGTTTTCTTAGTGATAATCAAATGGGGGGTGCTAGGCACTCATTTTCTCATAAAAGACTCTCAGAAGGTGTTCCAAAAGAAATGATTATCTAATTCCTTTCCCCACAGTTGAATATCGGAAAGCACTAATGTGCTGCCCAACCTGGAAAAGTGTTGTCAGTGCTGTCACAGGGGGTGGTGGGGTGGTGGTGATGGTGGTGGTATAACTAGTTGAGGCCAGAGGTGGTGGTGGTGGTGGAACTTGCTCAGTCACCTCCAGAGAATGGCAGCAAGCCCAGAGGAAAGTAGAGAGAGGGACAAACACATGGCATGTCACAGCCCAAGAAGGCCAACCACCATCGGAGCCTCCAGATTGTCTCTTACAAGTCAGGCATCTTTTGGGTCAACTGGTATGTTTTTCCCTCATGGAATGGGAGCAGTGGCAGGTGGCTGGAATTGTTGAAAGAGGCGGGGATGCACCACTGGGCTCTCAGGCTGAGACTTCTGTTACTCCAAGTGTGTTATAGTCTCAGCAAACTTGTGATGACAAGAGCTGGGAATACAGCTCAGTTGTTAAGAGTGCTTGTTTACAAAGCTCACAAAGCTCTGGATTCCTCTTCTAGCACTGTGGAACCCAGGTGTGGCAGTGCATGCCTGTAATCCCAGAGGGTAGAGGCAGGAGGGTCAGAAGTTAAGGGCAGCCTCAGTTACTTAGCTAGTTTGAGGCCAGCGTGGGCTCTGCATGATACCTTGCTTCAAAGGAAACAAGTTTTCATGATTGGAATGTGTATATTTTATTTTAATTTATTACTATTGAGCGATGTATGTGTGGGGTGTGTGTACACCACAGTCTGCCATGTGGAAGTCAGAGGATAAAGTTTGTGGGGTTGGTTCTTTTCTGCCACAATTATGTGGGTCCTGGGGATAGGACTTAGGTTGCCAGGTTTTGCAGCAAGCACCTTTACCCATTGAGCCATCTCGCCAGGCAGTAATTTATAGATTTTATTATTTAAAATTTTTTTATTTATTATCGTCATTATTATTGTGTGTACCCAGGTATATACTGTGGTATGTATGTGGAGGTCAGAGAATGTTTGTGGAGTTGGTTCTCTCCTTCGACCTCTGTGTTGGTCCTGGAGCTTGACTCAGGTTGCTGGGTTTGCATGGCAAGTGCCTTTACCAGCTGAGCTATCTGGCCAGTCCAGAATCTGTGTATTTAATGATTTAATGAGCTATGACAGTGTTTAGCAAGGGCTAAACAGGTTCCCCTGACATCTCATAATCTACCTTTGCATAGTTTCTCTGAGAAGACCCCACCAGCTCTTTAGTAAACCTCAGTGACGTATCTCACCTTGGGGAGACAAATTCTTAGAACTTTGGCAGAGGTTAGCTTGTCTCTACCTACAGAGTGTCTTCAACCTATACCAACCCCCCGACTTCAATGGAGTCTCCTAGAGAGGACCCTGCTTCGGGAGCCAAGTTGCCAATTGCACTGGAGGAGGTGAGAGGGACATCAAGAACAGACATGTATTTCTTCAAGTCTTGCAAGGTGGGATTGTGGTAGAAAGGAGAAGGAGCAACACAGGCCCAGGTTTGGTGCTACAGAGGTGGCCCCACGACCAAGGCTGTAGAGTGGTTTATCTTCCTGAATATTTTTTTCTTTTTTTGAGACAGGGTCTCCCTGTAGGCCTAGCTGACCTAGAACTCGCTACGTAGACCAGGGTGGTCTTGAACTCATAGAGATCTGCCTGTTTCTGCCTCCTAGTGCTTTTTTGGGTGAGACAAAGTCTCAGTATGTAGCCGTGGCTATCCTGGAGCTTGCTGTGTAGACCAGGCTGGCCTCTATCTTGAGGCCTGCTTCTGCCTGAGATTAATGGCATACACCACCATGCCTAACCTGAGATTGGTTTTCTCTTAGCTAGCCTTTCTCAGAAAGGCTCATTTAAAATTGAAGCTACTGGTGGCATTATTTTCTGTGCCACAATGAGTACAATACAGGTGACTGACTAATTACACTGCCTCCCTATTAAGGATGTTCCGACAAACCCACAGAGTTACCAAAAACAGCAGCCTGTCATGGCAGTCAGTTTACTTCATTAATTATGAACTCGGAATTTTCCAGCACAAATGGCATAGTGCTGAGCACTTGTCAGATTGGGTAGGAAGAAGCAGCTCCAAGTTTAAGCCCCTTTCTGTGTACGTTTAAAGGTGAGAAGACACAGCAAGAGCCATAGATAGTGGCATTTGCATGAAAGAGTGGGACCCAGGCCGAGACAAAGTGCTAAACATTAAATGGCGCAGTGGGGGAAAGACGAGACAGTTTCAACATGCTGGGGCATGAGAACCAATTAATGAGCTGCTTGGTGTGTCCAATTACAGACAGCATCAGCAGAGTGTATTACAGGAAAAATAACAATCATGTCAGGATTCAAGATTCTATCCGTGGGCTGAAGCTAAAGAGTTGCTTGCTTAGCATACTCCAAGTCCTGGGTTCCATTCTTAGCACCACAGAAACTGGCTGTGGTCTGGTATACCTATAATCTTAGCACTCTGGAGGTGGAAGCAGGAGGATCAGATGCTCAAGGTCATATTTGGCTACACAGTGAGTTGGAGGCTAGCTCAGACTACAAGAGACCCTATTTTGTCAATTGTGGAAGATGTGCTCTCTCAAAGTGACTGTCATGAGATACAGAGGCATCTTTCGCAAAGATTAAAAACCCCTTGTACAGTGTTCATGGCAAAACCAAAGCTGCAGTTCCAGCCAGAAACTATAACATCCTTTCCTGTACTGTGCCCTGATTCTACTACCCACCTCCCCCAACATGCCTCCTGGAATCCCCTCAAAGATGGAAAATATGGAAAGGAAAAAAGGCTCCGAGAAGGTATCTCATTCAACTAACCTTAGTCCTTCTGGGTATGGGAGGGGGATTTGCTCATTTGGGGGACTGTTCTGAGACCTGTGTATGGCTTTGATATCAGAGCCATCTACTCCTGGCTACAAGGGGTGATGATAATTAAAATCAGAGAAGTCTCTTACTAGAGGATATGTTTTGATTATCAGATCAGACGAAGAGAAGGGAGCAACAATTTTGGAAAGGATGGCAGGGTTGTTTCATTAACTGTGCAGTATTAAAGAATTCCCCCAAGACATGAATAAAGAACATTAATTTGTGTGACTATTTCATTGTGTGTGTGTGTGTGTGTGTGTGTGTGTGTGTGTGTGTAAAGACAAACATTAAAACTTTAACTGATTGAGAAGAAATTGTTCTATAATGAAAAACAGAAGGTCTACAGTGTATGGCCCTATATGAGGGAGGCATGGGCAGGATGTATTTGAGTCAAGGCCTTATTGGGGATGGAGGAGAAAGAAGCACATTATCAATGATCATGCCATCACCAGGTCAGAAATTATGACACTGCATGAAAATTAAGTATAATCTAGATATAAAACTTGAGCTGGGTGTGGTGGTGCATGCCTTGAATCCCAGTACTTGGAAAGCAGAGGTAGGAGGATCTCTGTGAGTTCCAGGCTAGCCTGCTCTACATAGTGAGTTTCAGACCAGCTAGCACTACTAAGTGAGACCTTGTCTCAAAAATAAAAACAAAAACCAAATGCAAAATACAAATAAATAAATAGATGTAAAACTTGAGTCCTGGTACTCAAGGCATGGGAATGGGAGAGGAAGAAAGGTCAGGGCTTTGTGCCATCTGACCAAGCCTGGGACTTTCTCTTCAGGGGGAACCTGGGCACTAGCATTTTTTGAACAAGTGGAGGAAATGCATCCCAAAGAAGCAAAGGAGAAACTAACTTGGCAGAGCTGTGGGTGCAGCTGGCATCAGTCACAAACCTGTGGCAAAACTGAGCTCTGGAGGGGGCTGGAGAGATGGGTCAACAGTTAAGAGCACTGGCTGCTCTCACAGAGGACCTGGGTTCATTTCCTAGAACCTACATGGCAGCTAACGACTGTCTATAACTCCAGTTCCAGGGGACCTGATACCCTCTTCTGACTTCCATGGGCAAGATATTCATAGACATAAATAATAAATGAATGAAAATTTTAAAAAGTTGAGTTTTGGGTCAAATTCAATTCTGTATTGAAAAGAAAATCTCTACTAAAAAGAAAAGAAAAAGGGCTGGAGGGATAGTTCAGTAGGTAAAGTGCTTGCTGTTCAAGAATGAAGACCTGAGTTCCATGTGTATGAGTTCCAGTGATAGGGAGACAGAGGCAGGCAGATCCCTGGGGCTCACCAGTCAGTCAGCCTAGCCTACTCATTGAGCCCAGGTGCTAGTTCGAGATCTTGTCTCAAAAAACAAAGTGGAACTTGCTATGTTGCCTAGGTTGGCCCAGAACTCATAGGCGACTCTCCTGCTTCTGCCTCCTGGGAGTTGTTATACAGGCGTGTACCGCCATTCTTGTCTAGAATCACTTTATATAAGGAGCATTAACCTTTCCTTTCTCTTCCTTTCCCCTTTCTTTTTTTTTTCTTTAAAATTTTGAGACCAGGTCTCATTATGTTGTCCAGGCTGGTCTCAAACTTCTGGGCTTAGTGGCCCTTCCATCTTAGCTTCCTGAATAGCTGGGAGTACAGGTTCATGCCATAGCTCCTGTTTATTCCGTGGGGGGTCTGGGGCAGGGGAGCAAGTTAGACGACATCAGGTGTCCTGCTCTATCTCTCCACCTTATTCCCTTGAGCAGAGTCCCTCACTGAACCTGCAGCTTGCCTGGCCACCAGTAAGTTCTAATCATCCTTCTGTCTCTGCCCAACAGTGCTGCCTGACCATGCCTTTTTACATGGGCACTGGGGATTTGAACTCAGGTCTTCTTGGGTATGCACCAAGTACCTTTAACCACTGAAACATCCCTTGCCCCTTCTCCCATTTTTTATAGTTAACCAGACTTACTTCATTTACTGCACAGTGAGTGCCTGCAACGGGCAGTCAACTCATTCATTTATGAATAAATCAGACACCTGGAAAAGCAGGCCAGCTTTGGAGAAAATCCCTCCACAGAGCAGGGAACCCTACAGCCTGAAACCAGAGCCCTGGGCAGCAATGGTTCTGCCTACTTGCCTGCCAAACATACCTCCCAGAGGTCCCATCTGGCCCTGACACCTAGCAATCTAGGATTCTAGAACTGTCCTCAAATTATACTGGATTCTACCAGATGTAAACACTAGTGTAATTATTATTTCATATAGGAAAAAGGTTCTGGACTGTGCACTGGGGACAGGCTGTATGAGAAAGCCTTAGAAGCCAGCCTCAGCTGCCTACAAGTTCATTGGGGCAGAAGAGATAGCACATAGGTCTTTGAGGTGATGCAACACTGGGCTCCAGGCCTCAGCATAGACTGAAGGACAAAGGGGTAACCCATTCCTTGGATGTTCAGAGACAACCTCTGTAGACTCTGGGTTGCCATGTAGTTTAGGAGGGGCTGGAGAGGGAGAAAGACTGGATGGCCAGCAGGGCTCCACTTATGGAGCACATATGCCACTAAGGCACAGAGTCACCAGATCTGCCCTCCAAACCCCACCAAGGAGTGCACAGAAGCACCTTGGGATATCTCAGGGTGAGAAGCAGTGCAGTGGGCAGAAAAGGTAGATTGGCATCTCTACCCAGTTCTGCACACATCTGTGCTGTGGGGGAGGAGTGCTTTGAGAGGGACATACCAGAGGAGGTAGTGAACTCTGCTTAGAACTGACAGGGGTGAAAGGTTGCCACATTCACTGTCAGCTGCAGGGCACAAAGGGTGCATGTTCATGAGAACACATCCATGTGATCATACTTGCCACCCTTCACCCCACGGTGCACATCCCCCACCAAGCCCTTACTTTGACTCCACCCCATGGAGGATGCACATCCCCACCACGCCCTTACTTTGAGTGTGCTATTCTTGGCGCTCAGCTGCTGCTCCAGCTGAGAGATCTGGCTGGCTGAATTCTCTCGCAGCTTGGTGAGGCTGGCTTGGAGTCGCTGAACGTCTTCCACCAGCTGAGCAATCTCACGCTCTTTGGCAGCTAACTCTACTTCCAGGCTGGAGCGGGTCAGCACCTCTATGGCCTGCTCCTGGGAAGAACAAAGCAATGCCGAAACAGTACTGGCTCTGGGGAGGGGCGCGGCGCTTGGGGACTTGCCTGCCTGCAACCTCAGTAGAAGCCACACTGATTTGAGGATGCAACCAGCGGACTGGGGGTGGATATGACTTCTCACCTTTACATGCCTGTCACCTGGATCTGTTCTTTGGATTCCCAGAATCCAAGAACCAGGCATGTGACAATTTAAAGCACAAAATCCCACCTTCCTGATGGGAAGTCCAGCACGGCTGGGTCTGGGTGGGTAAGACACTAAATACAGTCATTTGAGTCAACATGGAATGTATGATGCCTAGGGCTGTAGAAAAACTAGAAGCTGAGAGGGCATGAGCCCAAAAAGGTTCTCACTTTAATGTAGATGGTCCAAGAAAGTCTCCCAGAGGTGGGGACATATGAGCAGAGACCTTTGATGGCTGGTATGGGAAGTTAGTCTAGATAGGGGAATGGCAACTGGGGCAGCTCAGAGGATGGAGCTAGAAGTTTATGCAAACAGATTTCTAAGCTGCAGTGAGATCCAGTGCCCTCTGGATTCATTAGTAAATTATCTACAACAGCTATATTTTGCCAAGTTGATTCTCAACATTTTCTATTTTGCTTTTTTTTGTGTACCACAGCTGGACTTGCTATGTAGCGAGCCTGGAGTTCAACTACTGATCCTCCTGCCTCTATCCCCCAAGTGCTGAGATTACAGGCATGAACCACCTGAATTAGCACAGAGTTCAAAGACATGAGAGATACATGTTTGGGGTTCCTTTGCTTAAAAAAAGCTTATGGCAAATGAGTTTTTTTTTCTTATGTTGAAAAAAATTAAGCATTTTTGCCTGCATGTAAGGGCACCACATGCATGTAATGCACGCAGAGGCCAGAAGAGGACATCAAATCCTCTGGAACTGGAATTAAGGATGACTGGTAGCCACTACGTGGGTGCTGGGGACCAAACCTGGATCCTCTGCAAGAGCCATCTCTCTAGCCCCTGAGTTTTTTCCTTAAAAATCTTTTTTTTTGTTTTGTTTTTTGACAAAGTTTTACTGTGTGGCTCTGGCTGGCCTGGAACTACCCATATAGACCAGGCTAGCCTAGAACTCACGAGATCCACCTGTTTCTGCCTCCCAAGTACAGAGATTAAAGGTGTGCACCACCACATCTGGCCAATTTAAAAAAATTATTTATTCATTTATGTGTGTATATATAAGTGTGTGAACAAGCATATAGAGGTCAGAAACAACTTGTGGGAGTCAGATCTCTTCTACTATTGTGCATTCTGGGGATTGAACTAAGGTCCTCAGTTTTGATAGCAAGTGCCTTTACCCACTTGGCCATCTCATCAGCCCATGAGGTTATATATCTCCCATTAACCCCTGAAATGTAAATATATAGAACAGAAGAAAAAATGTATTTAAACAGGAGCAAAAGTCCAAACTAACTTGGCTTCCCAGGGACTCAAGCAGTACTTATGTGAAGTTGTAAAAGTAATCACTTAGCTACATCTGTAATCCCAGCATTAATGAGGCTGAGGCAGGAGGATCAAGAGCTCAAGGTCAGCCTGGGCTACACAGTGAGACCTTATTTTAAAGAATCAAATAAAATTTAAAAAAAAAAAAAAAAGCAATCATGGCTCCTCTACGATCCTTGAAGCTTTTCTAAAGAGCATGTACGTTTTGGTGGTGACTGAAGTGGAGATGGGGACAGGACAGTAGCTGGGATGTGACCTGTACAGCCTATGATAGACAGACAGACACACAAAAGACAAATCCCTACCCCTAACCTTAACTGGATTGGAAGAGGGTGGCCTCGGTAGTACTTGTTACCAGGCAGCCAGGCCAAGCCATACTGAGCTACTCTTCACAGGGCTCGCACATGGGACAGCCAGTTATGGAGGGAAATGACATCACAGTAGTTCTGTTCCAGGAAAATCAGCCTTTTCTGTTTAAGTCCATGAAGGTCTGCGTGCCAAGGAGACCCTCTATTTCTTTGATTTGTATGATGTTGTAAATGAATGCTCCTTTCTCTAACTAACTCCAGGGCCTGCTAGTCATTCTTCTGACCTCTGGTGCTGGACCCCTGAGCATCCTCTGTTGGCTTGTGTCAAGGCACAATCTGTCCATGTCATTCTGTCCAGCATGTGCCCCAAAGGGTATGCCCAAGGTCTCCAGTGAGCTGGTGCCCATGGACCAAGCCTAGAGGTGGTAGGTGGGTAGAAGAGAGTCTAGAGCCATTTGACATCATGTTGAGCTCTTACTATCTTTATAAAACTGTCAGTGTTCAACAGAATGGTAGTTAAAAAACACATAAATGCTGGGTGTGGCGACATAAGCCTTCAATCCCAGCACTCTGAGTTCTTGAGACCAGCCTAGTCTACATAGCGAGTTCCAGGCCAGCTGGGGCTACAGGGAGACCCTTGTCTCAAAAAACAAAACAAAACAAAACAAAACAAAACAAAACAAAACAAAACACAACATGAAAGTGTCATGCCAGGGTTTGAAAGCCTGACCATGCTTGAAGGAGGCTGTGGAGCAAGGAAGGGGGATGCATAATAAAAGTAACCTGCAGGACCAGCATTTGGGAGGTAGGGGCCAAGAGGATCAGGAATTAAAGGACATTCTTAGCTATATGGGGTGTTAGAGGGTAGCTTGTGATACCTAAGACCTTGTCTCAAAAAATGGAAGCAAATAAAAAGAAATTAAATGATGGCAGTAAGAACATAGCCCAAGGCAGGAGCTCTATGAATGACCTGATACTTCTGATTTTAATTATTCTTTGGGTTTATGTGTGGGGGGGGTACATGTGTGTGGGTATACATTCAGGTCAGACAGACACTGTCCTCCTAAGGCACTCTCCTTTTTGTATACTGAGGCAAGGTCTCTCACTTGTACCCAAAGCTTGCCACTTCAGCTCCTCTGCTAGCCAGCTTGCTCTGGGAACCCTGTGTCCATCTCTGGGATGCTGGAATTACAAGAGGCTGCCATGTCTACCTGGCATTTACATGGGTACCTCAAGCTTGCATACTAAGCACCTTAACCTCTGAACCATGCCCACTCCCTCCAGCCTTCTAGAATCACGGTTCTGTGAGACACCCATGCATTGGTTCTGGCTTTTGCTATGGCTACTGTTCTTTTGAGTTCTGCCAGCCAAGCCCAACAGATCATGTTTTCTACTGGCTCCATGTCTGTGTCAGCCTCCATGGGAAGTGACAGGTGGGAAAGCCCTGGCTGGTGTGACTGGAAGACTGAAGCTGGGCTAGGTTAATACCGCACTTAGGTCATGATGAAATTCAGAAGCCATCTCTGGCTTTTCCCTGTGAGTTCAAGGCCAGCCTAATCTATATAGTGAATTCCAGACCAGTCAGGGCTACATAGTGAGACCCTGTCTCAAAACAACGACAACAAAAGCCCTCAAACCAAACCAAAACAAAATGGAAGGCAGAGCTGGTGAGATGGCTCAGTGCATAAAGTGCTTGCCACACAAGCCTGACTACCCAAGTTCAATCCCTGGAACCCACATAGAAGGTAGAAGGAGAAAACTGACTTATGCAACTGACTTGACCTGTGAAAACATTAATTTCCTTCTGGAATGTTTGGATTTTCTCTGGCCCAGGAAGGTGCCAGGAGTATCTACAATCCAAACATTTAGCTCAGGAGTTCTGTTAGACACATAAGGACGAATGGCTTCCTCCAAGGGTAGCCACACAGGCTGGGAAGCTGCTGGCCCCAGCTTAGGGCTTCCTCCCATCTCTGCCCTGGTACTGTGGCCAGAGCATCTATGTTTGGGTGAGGGAACAATAATGGCATCAAGGGGGCAATCTGGAGAAAAGTAAATTATTGTGTCCATGTATGACAGAAGCAACAGTCTGCATGGAAACATTTTGCTATCTCCTGAAATGGTTACCTTTTACTACCTTCTAAAATGGTTAACTAACACAATATGTAATATTATTTTTTCTTTCTCTGGACAAGGTCTTGCTATGTTGCCTAGCCTGACCTCTTTAACTACTGATCCTCTTGCCTGAGTCTCCTGAGAAGATCCTTTTTTAAAGAAGACTGGGTCTCATGTAGCCCAGGCTAGTTTTGAACTCATTATGTAGCTGAGGATAACCTGTTTCCACCTCCTAAGTGCTGGTTTTACATATGTGTGATACCAGCTACAGCTTCCTTTTATAGATAGAAAAATAAACTGAGAGTCAGAAACTTAAGTTACTTTTCCCCAAATCTCCAATTCAGAGACCAAAGAGCTAGGGCCTGAACTCAGGGGATCTATATAGAGTCTCAGATAGCATGTTGCTCTTTGTCACCAGGTCTATTCCCCAAAGGCATCCAGGACCTGGTCATTTGGACTCACCTTGACCAAACCCAGATAGGTTTGGTAACAAGCATGTTTGTTAGCTGAGAAGTCATGTGGTATTAGGCGTGGTAGCTCACATGTGTGATCCCAGGACTCAGGAGGCTGAGGAAGGAAGATCCCCAGCTGGAGACCAGCCTGAGCTACTAAGACTCTATCTCAAAATGTATATAAATTGGACATGGTGGTGCACACCTTTAATCTCAGCACACAGGAGGCATAGGCAGGCAGGTCTCTGAGTTTGAGGCCAACCCCGTCTACACAGTGGGTTGTAGGCCAGCCAGAACTAGTGAGACCCTGCCACAAACAAACAAACAAACAAACAAACAAACAAACAAACAAACAAACACAAAATAGAAGGCAGGTCCAGTGAGGTGGCTCAGTGTGTAATCGTGCTTGCTATGCAAGCCTGATAACCTTGCAACATGGTGGAGAGTACAGACTCCTGCAAGTTGTCTTCTGACCTCCACACAAGTGCAGTGGCATGCATGCAGCCATACACCCACAGTATATCCATAAATGAATAAATGTAAATTAGAAAAATAGGAAGGCAAAAGTCTGACAGTTGGGCCTTACTCCTTCTGATAAGCTTCTAGCCAACATCGAAACCCAGGTCAGGCTGCTACATATGATTGCTGTGGCTCTCACAGGTCATGGTAGACTATGTTCATGCAAGAACACCCTCCCCTTGTCTGTGGAATTTGGGGGATGGGGGAACAGATTCATTTTCAGATCTGGTCACCCCTAGCCTCAAATCTACGTGATTCTGTTTCCTCATCCTGGCACAGGACACATGCACATATACAAGCATGTATACACACACACACTGAGGACATGCCACACTGATCCTGTGCATAATTGGCAGAGCTCTTCCTTCAACCCTCTCAAGTTCTAGCCTCAAGCTGTTAAGACTTCCCCACTGTGATGGTTAATATTGTCAGACTGTCAGGGTCTAGAATCGTCTAGGAGACAAGCCTCTGGGCTTAACTGTCAGCAAGTTTCTAGATTGGGTTAACTGCGGTGGGAAGACATACCCTGAATGTGGGTAGCACCATTCCATGGGCTGGGGTCCTGGACTAAATAAAAAGGAGAAAGTGAGCTGAGCACCATCATTCATCTCTCTGCTTCCTGACTGTGGATGCCATGTGAGCAGCTGCCTCACACTCCTGCTGCCATGCCTTTCTGCCATGATGGACTGTGCCCGCAAACTGTGAGCCACCCTTAAGTCACTTTTGTCAGGTATTGTGTCACAACAATGAGAAAAACCAGTTAACACACCCAGCTAACAATCAGTCTTGATTCAAGGAAGAGTTAAAACCCCACAGTTTCCATAAGTAGGAGTGACATGGGGGGTGGAGGTGGGGCAGGTCCGGGGTTACCCACCACATCTGGAGCCTTCTGGATCTGGGAGGCCAGCTGGAGAGAGTGGTTGGCTGATGAGAGCTGTTCCCTTAAAGTCTCCGCCTCTCTCTGCGCCACTTCTGCCCTCTGAGGGAAACAAAAAGGGGTGAAGAGAAGAAAGTACATTGGGTTTAACAACTGACAATTATTACAAGAACATTCATCAATTCATGCCTGAGTGACTGTAATTGATTTTCCTAAACACTCAACCTAATAAATGCTCTGGAAAAAAAAAGAAAAAAAAAAAAAAACCCACCCTAGAATGTGATGGATTTTTATTTTAAACAGTACAAGGAAGAAATAATTGAGCGATTATGACAGTAATTTAACGCTAGGAGCGAGGAATCCCCTGCTGATATTAATGCTCTGGCCCATTGCGTTTCCCAGACTGAATAAATACCGGTGGAAATAGAGTCTTCTGATTCAATTTCTTTCTATTCTCATGGACCAAGGAGATTTATCGCGGATTACTCCTGGGAGCCATTCTCTGGGGGAAACACTGAATTAAAGACACTCTGGCCTTTCTCTCCCCACAAACACACAATGTTGTGGTTGTTTCCCTCCAGTTTGCATTTCCATACTTGGATGGGTAGAAATGCTGTTTCCTTTGTGAAGGCTGGGCTGGGTTTTTACACAGTTAACCCTTTATTGGGGAGCATGTGTAAATGTTCATGCTGGCATTTGCGGCTCTGTGAGTGGGCAGCCCAAGCTGGTGCTAGAGACAGTAACAGAAATGACTGGAAGCTTTGATGGTTCCACTGTATGAGGAAGCCATTGTCACTGCAAACTCAGATTTGCCATTGGATGATGGAGAAGCACTCTTGTGCTCACCAGTCAAGAGGGCATCTGGGAACAGGTAACAGGGTCAGTTACCTAAGCTCCTGGAGCCTCCACAGACCCATCTGTTGAATAGTAACATCCTGTCTACTCAGACACATGGAGGCAAATCCCCCCCACCCCCCAATGTGGAAGTGGTTAATTGTCCAACAAGCCACACCCAGCCCCTCACTGGGGGATTCTAGTTCTTGGCGGGTACTCTACCACTGAGCCACAACATCAGCCCCTCACTGAGGGATTCTAGAAAGGTGTTATAGTAATGTAAATCCCTTTTTCTCTTTTTATTTGAGAGAAGGTTTTGCCAGCTAAGTCCCAGGCTGGTCTTGAACCTGCCATCCTTTTGCCTCAGCCTCATGAGCAGCTGGGATGACAAATCATACCTCTACTTCAGCTGTTTTCCCTAGTTTTTCTGACAGCCATGACATACAGCTAAAAAGCATATTCCTCCTTAGTGGGTGAGGTAAACCTTCAGGCACAGAGTCTCTACAGCTCTGCGAGGAATAAGGTATATTTTGACATATTTCTTTGTCTCTTTAACTAGGAAAATATTTCTTTGCATATTGGGGAAGAAGTTCTGATAGCTGCCAACCAGGTGGCATTACCACCCTGACATGCTACACTGGCTCTGAAGTCTACTAGAACAATACAAGCTGGGGAATGCCTGCTCAGTCTCTGCAAGCCTGTGAGTATATCAGATGGACAAAGTACTGTATATCATAGACTAAGACATCCAGCTGGCCACTGGCAATTTTTCTAGTGTTGGTACTTGTGATATAGTTCCCCAAATTCACATAGAGAATATAGATCTTGGTGCTAGGCATGAAGGGGCACATCTATAATCCTAGCACTGGGGAGGCTGAATCAGGACAGTGAATTTGAAGCCAGCCCAGCCTGGGCTACATACAGAGATCCATGCTAGAGAAGGAAAAAAAAAAAAAAAAAAAAAAAAGTCTAGGGATATAGCTCAATTGGTAGAGTGCTCAAGTAGCATACACAAAGCCCTGGGTTCAATCTCAGCACTGCATAAACTTGGTATAGTAGTTATGATTCTAATTCTAGCCTTTGGGAGACAGAGGCAGGAGGATAAGAAATTTAAGACCATACTTGGCTACTTTGTCAGTTTGAGGCCAGCCTAGATTACGTGAAATCCTGTCTCAAAAACAAAATACAAAATAAACACAAATGCAAATAAAACATAGTTGCCCTATTTGTTGGAAGTTGTAGCCTCACCTGAGTTGGCTTGTTTTTGTTACTTTAGTGCAACTTAAAAAAAAATGTATTTTTATTTTATGTGTATGAGAGTTTTGCTTGCATGTATGTAAGTCCACCCGTATATACAGTGTCCTTGGAGGCCAGAAGAGGGTGTTGGATCCCCTGGAACTGGAGTTATAGGCAGCTGTTAGCCATCATGTGGTTGACGGGAACCAAACCTAGGTCCTCTGCAAGAGCAACCAGTGCTCTTAATCACTGAGTCATCGTTCCAGAACCTAGTGCAGCTTTTCAAATTCATATTTATTTAGGATTTACATTCTTTTTTTGGTCTTTTTGAAACAGGGTCTCCCTGTAGCCCCAGCTGGCCTGGATTCGCTATGGAGAGCAGGCTGGCCTTGAACTCACAGAGATCCACCTGCCTCTGCCTCCCAAGTGCTGGGATTAAAGGTATGCGCCACTACGCCTGGCCCATAGGATTTACCTTATTTTTTAAAAAATATTTTATTATTTTTATGTGTATGAGTGTATTGCCTGAATGTGTAAGTGCACCTGCAGAGGTCAGAAGAGGGTGTCAGATCCCCTGGAACTGGAGCTACAGAAGGTTGTTAGCCACCATGTGGGTACTGGGAACTGAACCTGGGTCCTCTGCAAAAGCAGTCACTGCTCTTAACAGCTGAGCCATCTCTCCAACCCCAGGATTTATATTCTAAACGCACCATCATCATCAACGACTATGACCTGCCACCAGCAAAGTTTGAGGCGTGTACAATTAAACAGTGACAAACCAAGTCTGTCCCAGGAAAGCTCGGGGGACAGGGCAACAGATATTGGTTGGCAGCTGAGGTGAATTTGTTTCTGAGTTTTTCATTTGTCTGTTTGTTTTTGAGACAGGGCTCTGTAGCTCCAGCTGGCCTGGAACTTGGCTTTGCAGATCAGGCTGGCCTGGATCTCATAGAGATCCTCCTGCCTCTGCCTCCCAATGTTAGGATTAAAGGCGTGGCCTACCATGCCCAGCTTAGCTTCTGAGTTTTTTGATAAAACTAAATATAGTCTTCCTTTAGCAGCTGAGCCAGAAAGTGAAAGGTGCTTTGCTGGGTTGGCACCACCTGTGTGGAAACTCTTATACCTTCCATAAGCTCACAGTCACCTGTGGCTGGGATTGAGCACTGACCCCAGACAGAGTCATGGTGATGTGACACTGCCTGTTCCCTTGTGCTCTTGGATGGGTCCTGTGCCCTGTAGAGACAGAGCCAGGAGGGCACAGGACATGCTCCTGAGTTCCAGGCTAGGGAAGCACTTGCTGCCAGCCCATTGCTGCCCTGTGGCACCTGTGTGGGTCAGATGAGGAATTCCTCCTCCTGACCTTCCATCTTGTAAGAGCAAATGCTCTTCTCCTGTCCCAGCCTCCTGAGTGCTGGGATTATAGGCAAGCACCACTACCACCACCACAGTTTTATGTGGTGCTGGGGATGGAACCCAGAGCTCAGTGCTTGCTAAGTGAGCACTCTACTAACTGGGCTAATTCTCCAGCACCTTTTTTCCTTTTTATTTATTTATTTATTTTAATTTTATTTATTTTATGTGTATGGTCGTATTGCCTGCATGTAAGTGCACCCGTGTTGTGCAATGCCTGAAGAGGGCATCAGATCCACTGGAGCTGGAGCTATGGACAGTTGTTAGCTGCCATGTGGGTGCTGGGAACTGAACCCGGGTCCTCTGCAGGAACAGTCAGTGCTCTTTACTGCTGAGCCATCTCTGCAGCCCAGCCCATCTTTTTTTTTTTAGTCTTTTTGAGACAGGGTCTCCCTGTAGCCCCAGCTGACCTGGAACTCACTATGTAGACCTCGGACTCACAGAGATCCACCTACCTCTGCCCCTTAAGTGCTGGGATTACAGGTGGGCACCACCATGTGTGGCTCATTTTTTTTTTAAAAGGTAAGGTTAGCCGGGCGTGGTGGTGCACACCTTTAATCCCAGCACTTGGGAGGCAGAGGCAGGTAGATCTTTGTGAGTTTGAGGCCAGCCTGGTCTACATAGTGAGTTCCAGGACAGCTGGGGCTACAAGGAGACCATATCTCAAAAAGACCAAAAACAAAACAAAACAAAACAAAAACAAAGATAAGGTTTCATGTTGCTGAGGATGGCCTTCAATTCCCAAGCCTCTTCCCTAAGGGCTGGGATTACAGGTATGAGCCTGCACTCTTGGCTACTTCCCTAGTTCCATATGGAGGTGATACTGGAGCCTTCCAGTAGTTGTCCACCCTTCTTGGTCCTAGTCGCTTTTCTCTTGTTCTCTCTGGACATGTGACCACTAAAACCCAGACTCGGGGAGACCAGAGATGAACAAGTCTCTACAGCAGCAAAGCAGCCCAGTGTGTGAGCTGCTGATGGCCCAGTGTGACCAGAGATATGAAGACTGCCAGCAGTGACGCTGTCAGTAACTGTGTGGGACAGGGGATGAGAAACTTGTCACCAGGTATTCTAAGCATTGGCAACCAGGACCCTCGGAGTTGCTGTCTGTGGTACTGGCCACACTGGCCACTATAAGCCATGATGACAACAATTCACTCACATGTGGCCAGCATGACTTGAGGAAAGCCAGGTGAGCAAGCTGCCCCTTTTCTGCCTGCTCCCAAAGTGTTTCCTGTGCATCCTGGGGCCTGAATGTAAGCAGGGAGAAACCAAGATTCCCAGAATACCCAGTCATACATATGGCTGGCCCAGTGGGGAGCACCTGAATGCAGCCTATGAAGCCAGTTCAGCTTCGGTATCCCCACCCAGGTCTGCTTGGAGCAGGGGTACAAAGGCTACTTGAATGGATGGGGTACCTGCAAATGAAAGCTTGCCCTTGTTCTATGGATGGGGGCATCCATGGAGCAGGGATCCTCAGTCACTGTGGGTAAAAGTGTCACATCCAGGAGTGTGACTTGGCTGTCTGCATTCCAAAGCCGAGTACCATGGGGTTCCTTCAACCTTTTGTATCTCATCTCTTTCTGCACTTGGCTCCTCCTTAGGGAAGTTCAACTGTGCTTTCTAGCCTGGGGATGTGGCTCAGCTGGCAGAGTGCCTGACTAGCATTCGAGAAACCCTGGATTTGAGCCCCAGTACTTCATAAACTGAATGGTGGTACATGCTAGTAATTCTAGAAGTTGGGAGGTAGAGGCAGAGAATCAAGAGCTCATGGTTATCCCTAGCTATACAGTGAGTCTGAGGCCAACCAGGGTTGTATAAGACCCTTTTAAATAACTGAGCCCTAACCTCAGCCCAAGGGGGTCTTCCACTGGGACTGTTTTGTTTCATAAACACCAGCCAGGCTAACAGGCAGTGAACAACTTTGGCTTAAATGACTTCCGGGCCCCACTCCTGCGTCTTTGTGCAACTGGAATCAGAGCTGCTCTGAATCGGGGACAGGGAGAGGTATGGCTGGCAGCCAGCCCACACAGGGACAGCCTTAGGCATGGTACTTCCATGTGCCAAGTCAAGGTTTATTTCTCAAGAAGTTTTGGGAGCTCAGAACCTTCATGATTGCCAATTAAGATGGTAACTATTAATGTGATTGCCCAGAAAAATGAGCAGGTGTCAAGGAGAGACTCTTGCTTTACTGACAGCTGCTGCCCACTCCTCTGTTTCCCAGGGATGGAGACACAATCTCTGAGCAATAAAACAGAGCTTCAGGTCTCAGTAGAATGTCTGAGATAAACCCAGTGCAAAAATAATGTTGTATGTCAGTGAACTAGCAAATTGCTCCTCCTGGGGGTTCTCTGGCAGTCCAGATGTGTGTGGTGCCTGAGGCAGTCTGTGGCTCTGCCCACAGTCCTGCTCTTGCCTAGTCTGCCTCTGCCTATCCCCCTGGGTACCGCTTCCAGCCCTGTGAGTTTCCCCTGTCTGGTCATCAGAGCTGTCGTGTCCCTGGCTTCCAACCCCCATTCCTCACCCCAGGTTTAGCTACAGTGATCTCTTTAATTAAATGCAAACCCAGGGTCTCCATCCCCCAGGATACCCATGGCTTTCAGGGTGAAGCCCCTTCCCTAACCTGCTGTACAGTTTCCAGTTAGGCAACTCTCCAGCTCCTGACTATGTACCTGCCTAGCTTTCCCCCATTACCAACTCCTGTGATTTCCCCGATAGACTTTTATTTCCTTCTCTCTAGGCTTTTCCCTGAGGACCAACCAGGCAACCCTGGGACTTCTATCCTCCCTCTTAGATTATCTACCAAGGGTGTCCAACCTTTTGACATGTGACAAGATGTTCTTACCTACAAAGTTCACAAGCTAGACTATACAATCCAGTTACAGAAACAAACAAACAAAAACACCCAAAATTCCTCAGAATGCTTTAAGACTTCTGGGTTTGGGGCCTGGAGAGATGGCTCAGCAGTTAAGAGCACTGACTGCTCTTGCAGAGGACCCAGGTTCGATTCCCAGTACCAACATGGTGGCTACAAACCATCCTTAACTCCAGTTCCAGGGGAATCTGATGCCCTCTTCTGATCTCCACAGCATTGTACAACATGGGTGCACTCACATACATGTAGGCAATATACTCATATACACTGGAAAAAAAAAAAAAAAAAGACTTCTGGGTTTCTTGTCCCAACCTACTGATAGACCAGGCAGTGATTCAATTTCTCTATTTACAAATCCTAACCATGTAGCCCTCAGTAGGTAGGCTAAGCAGGTGAAGTGATGGGATTCAGACTGGGCATTTGGAACATTGCAGAATGGGTAGCTATTTTGAGTAGTACTAGGGTGGCTAAGATGGCCCGTAAGGCTTCATGTGACACTCTCCAAAGAAAAAGGTCAGGCCTAGGACCCTAGGGAGGACCTAAATGCTCCCATCACTCCAATCAACTTCTTATATTTTAAAAAATTTATTTTTATGTGTATGAGTGTTATCCGTGCATGTAAGTGCATCTATGTCATGCAGTGCCTGTGGAGGTCAGTAAAGGGTATTTGATGCCCCAAAACTGAAGTTACAGATGGGTTTTAGCTGCCACGTGGGTGTTGGTATTTGAACCCATGTCTTCTGTAAGAACAGCCAATGCTCTTAACCACTGAGCCATCTCTCCAGTCCCACAATCAATCTCTAAGGGAAGAACAAGCTACATGTTCACAGTCTTTTCCTCTCTCAAGCTGACCTTCCTAATTTAGACTTTAGGCTGATTTTATAAGGTAAGGGACAGACACATTTTCTCTGTGGGTTGGTGAAAGCCTGGGTGCATAATATTCACAAAGGGCAGTGGCAGGCAGGGGCTGCAGGGATCATGGGAGGCTTCTTAGCCCACAGGGGGACTTGAAATTACTGGGGTGCCCAATGCAAGACGTAGAATTTTCCAGTGCCTGCAGCTACCCAGCTGTACAACTGAGTGGGCAGATTACAGCTTCTAGCCCTCTGGGCTGAGAAACCCACTTCTGCTTTGAACCCAAATAAAGAACCCACGGGGGTGTGGGGAGGTTGGGAATGCAGCTTAGTTGGTTAAGTTGACAGAGTAGCTTGCCTAGCCCTCGGGTTTGATCCCTGGCACTACATATATGGGTATGATGGCACATGCCTATAATTCCAGCATTTTTGGAGTAGAAACAGGAAGATCAGAAGTTCAAGGTCATCCTCAGTTACACGGCTAGTTGGAGGGTAGCCTGGGCAACACAAGACCCTGTCTCAAGAACAACAACAACAACAACAACAACAACAAAAAGAACCTGTATGGGGAGATGGACCTTCCATTTCTCAAAGCAGCAGCAATAGCTGTGAAAGCAAAATGGCTCACTACCTGCAGGGCCCTTTGAAAAGGGTGGCTGAATTTTCTGGACAGTTGAGTACTTGGAACTATCTGATACTATGTGACTGTTGTGTGGGATACTATGCCGGTGATTCCTGAAAAGCATACCTGAAAAATGAGCATTAGCTGAGAGGAGCTGAGAGCTGGGAGCCTGCTCTGAGCAAGCAGTTGGAACCGACTATGAGACAACCAGCTCTCTACTATTTACGTTGTAATGGAAGCGCTGGGGCAGGGCATTAGACACACCTACCCTTCTGACATGGAGATGACCATGTCTCTACAAAGTTCACCCTGAAAACTGCAATTCCCTTTACCACCCCTGACCCCCAAATCTCACAGTGTGAGGCCAGAGAAATGGCTCAGCAGCTAAGAGTACTGGCTGCTCTTGCAGAGGACTGGGCTTCAGTTCCCAAAACCCACGTGGTGGCTAACAACCATCTGTTACCCCAATTCCAGGGACTCCAACCCCCTCTTCTGGCCTCAACAAGCACTGCACACATGGGTGCACTTACATACACGCAGGCAAACACTCATAAACATAAAATTAAAAATTCAAAAAAATTGATAATGCTTTAAGTAAGTTTATGATTCTGCGTTGAACTGCATTTATAGCTATCCTGGGGTGCACAGGTGGCCTGTGTCTCAGATGCTGGAGTTGTCCCTGAGACTCTGTCAAGGAATAGAGCTGAAGATTCTTCACGTTTTCTAACTTCTCATGACATGGTGCAAAGGCATTTACAATGGCGGTTGTGAAGCAGAAACCATGAGAAGAATAACTGGTCTGACTTGGAGCCAGGCATTTACAAAGACTGAGCACTGTGCCTTGGTGTTTGTACCTCAAAGGTTCTGAACAGCCTACCTGGTTTGCACGTTCAAGGTCAGTCATGATCATCTCGATCTCGTCGGCCCTGGGAAGGTGAGAGGGACAGAGGTCAGTTGTCATCAAGGCAGGTGCAGGGAAGTGACTCAAGAGACAGGCTTTCTGGCTCAGAGTGAGGAGGAAAGACTACATCTACAGAAGGAGAGGCTGTGGCCCCAGTGTCTGAGAGGGCCAGGCAAACTTGAGGAGGTTCCTGTGGCCAAAGGGCTGGGAGGTAGGAGGCATGCCTGCAGGTTTCATTCACTATTTACTTATTAAAAGTTATTTTACTTGAGAGAGAGGGAGAGATGATGATTGATTGATAGATAGATAGAGAGAGAGAGAGAGAGAGAGAGAGAGCGCCTGGGTACGCATGGGTGAACATACATATCTGTGCCACAGCGTGCCTGTGGAGATCAGAGGACAACTTTCAGAAGTGTTTCGCCTCCATGTATGTAAATGCACACGTGTCATGCAATGCCTACGGAAGCCAGAAGGGGCATCAGATTCCATGGAATTGGACTTATGGATAATTGTGAACCCAGGTGCTCTCAAGAGCAGCCAATACCCTTAATCATTGAGCTATCTCTCCGGTCAATTAATTGTTTTTGAGACATGTCTCTTATATAGATAGTCCAGGCTGGCCTCAAACTGGCTATATAATCAAGGCTGACTATGAACTTCCTATCCTTCTGTCTCCATCTTCTAAGTGCTAGAATTACATGTGTGTACCACCACACCAGACTTTTTATTCACTTTGATATTCATGTCTCTAGAGGGGCTTCTAATCTTTATGGGGAGACAGAGCCAAAAATAAGATAAAATACAGGTTTGAGAATTTGGCTCAGTTGGTAGAGCACTTGCCTAGCATGCAGGAAGCCCTGGCTTCAATCCTTACTATTCCATAAAACTGAGCATGGGGGCTGGCTCAGTGGTTAAGAGCACTTGCCACTCAATCATGAGGACTAGAGTTCAAATCTCAGTACCCATGTCAGGTGGCTCACAAACACATGGAACTCTAGCTCAAAGGAATCCAATGCTCCTTCTGGCCTCTGAGGGCACCCATACACACATGTGCACATACACTCACATCTACACATACATAAATAAAATAAAAATAAATCTGAAACGTCCTGTTAAAAGGTTGACTAGCGCCATGAATACAGTACTCGGGAAAAACATGAAGATTAATGAAACCTCCCCTGGGGAAGTCAGGAACATTAAAAGAAGGTGATACACAGATTGGGTTTTGAAGGATGAATATAAGTTTGCCAGAGTAGGAGTGAGCTGAAAAAAGTCTACCCTTAGGAAAGTGCCTTTGGCAGTCAAGGCCTTACCAGGACCCAGAGCAGGTGGACAACAGGCCTCAAGGAGATGTGGGCTGTAGTGTGACCTGACCCACCAAGTCTAGTTAACTCTTAGCTGGCATCAGTCTTGAGGTTCTTATTTTTGTTTTTTTTTTTTGAAAACACTCCCTTGCATGAGGGCAAATACATGGCTCAACACTCTACCAGGGAGATAGAGTAGATCCTAGAGCCCAGGGCAGGTAAGTGTCTTGCCATTGCACAGATTTAGAAGAAAAGGCCAAAAAGATTTATGGAGAAGTTTGTCAATACCTAGTTTCTTCCTCAGGCTCGCCCACTCTCTCTCTCTCTCCCTCCCTTGTTTCCTTACTTCCCTTTTATTTTTGAGATACGGTCTCACTATATCGTCCCAGCTGTCCTGGAGCTCACCATGTAGACCATACTGGCATCAAAATCAGGGATCCCAAGTGCCTCTGCTTCCTGAGTGCTGGGATTAAAGGTGTGTACCATCACACCCGGACACATTTTTTTTTTTTTTTTGGTCTTCTTTTGAAATAGGGTCTCTCTGTAGCCCCAGCTGTCCTTGAACTCACTATGACCAGGTTGGCATTGAACTCACCGAGATCTGCCTGCCTCTGCCTCCCAAGTGCTGGGACTAACTACAGGTGTGCACCACCATGCCTGGCTCACATTGTTTTTTAAAACAGGATCTCTCACTGGCCTGGAGCTTGCCAAGAAGGCTAGGCTGGCTAGCAGGGAGCCACAGGAATCCACCTGCTTCTGCCTCCTTGGTGCTGGAATTATAATTGAGTTCTACCATGCCTGGCTTTTTAACTGTTACTAAAATTTTAATTTTATGCCGGCGTGGCGGTGCATATCTTTAATCCTAGCACTCAGGAGGCAGAGGCAGGTGGATCTTTTTGAGTTCACTGCCAGCCTGGTCTACATAGCAAGTTCAGGTCAGCTGGGGATACAGGAAGACCCTGTCTCAAAAGGACCAAAAAAAAAAAAAAAAAAAAAAGAGCTTTAATTTTATTTTATGTGTATGAGTGTTTTGCCTATATGTATGTAAGTACACTCTGTGTAGTGTCCATGGAAGTCAGAAAAGAACATGAGGTGCCCTAGAACTGTAATTAGAACTGGACAGTTGTTAGTTGCCATGCAGGTGCTTGGAACTGAACTGGGTCCTCTGCAAGAGCAGCCAGTGCTCTTAACCACTGAACCATCTCTCCAGCACCTCATCTATCTTTAACCCTGAACTCACTTCACTCCAGCATTTCCTTTGCTCTGACAGAAGTGAACATGGTGGGCATACCAACTTCTGTCATCCACAGCATTCAACTTTTCTTTATACTTTGCTTTTCTTTTACTCTTTTATTCTGTTAAAATGTAATGAAAAATTATTACATTTGATATATTTAGTGCGTGCGTGTGTGTGTGAAGGAAGTATGTATATATAGGTCAGAGGACAATACTCAGGAGTCAGTTTTCTCATTTTAGCATGTGGATCCCAGGGATTGTACTTAGGTCGTCAGGCTTGGTGGCAAGCACCTTTACCTGCTGAGTCATCTCACTGACCCCTTACTCTTTTAAAAAAACTTAAAAAAATTTTGTGTGTGCCTGTATGGCCAGTAGAGAGCTTTGTGGAGTTGGTTCTCTTTATTATTTAAAAAAAATTATTTATTATTTTTATTTTATGTGTATGTGTATATTGCCTGCATGTAGGTAAGTGTACTTGTGTTGTGCAATGCCCATGGAGGACAGAAGAGGCTGTTGGATCCCCTGGAAATGGAGTTATGGACAGTTGTTAGCTGCCATGTGGGTGCTGGGATTCGAACCCGGGTCTTCTGCAAGAACAACCAGTGTTCTTAATCACTGAGCCATCTCTCTAGGCCCTCTTTTCCTACTTTTAAGTGGGGCCTAGGGATTGAACTAAGGTCATCAGGCTTGGTGGCAAGCACTTCCTTCTAAGCCATCTTGCTAGACCCTTTCCTGTTGCCTTCTGAAAAGCTCTTTAACTTATTCTAACTGGTCTTTGGTTGTGTCCCACTGTAAATTAGCCCTTTTCTGTTAATGAACTTGCCACTCCTATTTTTTCCTCTTGGGCCCTCTCTGTGTTCCACAGTCAGCACCTTGGTTTGTTACAGAGAATCCACCTCTTGTACTCACTCTCCCTATGCTGCCCCATCCCCAGAGGTGACCTTTGGTTCTCTGGGAGAAGCAGTGGCCCATGAAGCTGCCCCAGTTACCTGTACTTCCCCTAGCTCCTCATTCCTTTGCCTGGCTGAGCAGGGGCCAGGATATACACCAGCTGTAGGCCAAAAGCTCAGCCCACCAGAGCTGGAGTGACAGGGCTGAGCTTCTGGGGGATGGGAAACAGAATCCAGATTTTAGAAGGTTTGGGCCCTGAAAGGGATAGGGTGGGAAGCTCCTCACAAATGCACAGATCCTGGATTTCTTCTCAGACAGTGAATGATGTATGGGTCAAGACAGAGCATATCTGTAATCTCAGGCTAAGACAGCAGGATTGTGAGTTCAAGACCAGTCTGGGCTATGTAGCTACATAGTTTGAGGTCAACCTAGGTTACATAGCTCTGTAGCAAGTTTCAGTTCAGTCTGGACTACATGGTGAGACCCTGTTTTTTTTTTTTTTTTTAAATTAGAGACTGGATGGCATCGTGATTAAGATCATGGTTACTCTTTGCAGAGGATCTGGGTTCCATTTCCAGAAACCACATGGTGGCTAACAACCGTTTTTAACTCCAGTTCCAGGGGATCTGAAGCGCTCTTCTGACTTCTGTGGGCACTGCACAACACGGGTACACTTATATACATGCAGGCAATATACTAACACACATAAAATAAAAATAAGACTTTTTTAAAAAAAAAAATTAGGGCTAAAGAGATAGTTCAGCAGCTAAGAGCACTAGCTACTCTTCTAGAGGACCCAGGTTTGGTTCCCAGCAGGCACAGGGGAGGCTCAAAACCCTGTCACCCCAGTTTTAGGGGATCCAACACCCTCTTCTGGTCTCTGCAGGCATTGCCAGCACGAGTGCATTTACATATATTCAGGCAAAACACTCGTACACCTGAAATACACAAATTTTAAAAATTAAAAAAAGAGAGCGGGGTGAGGTGGCGCTCACCTTTAATCCCAGCACTCAGGAGGCAGAGGCAGGTGGATCTCTGTGGGTTCAAGGCCAGCCTGGTCTACATAGTTGAGTTCCAGAACAGCGGGGGCTATAGGAAGACCCTGTCTCAAAAAGACCCCCCCCCCAAAAAAAAAAGAAAAAAAGAAAAGAAAAAGGAGAGTAGGGGCCCAGACCTTTGCAGATTGCCTGAGAGTGCCTGGATCCAGCCTCTGCATGATGGTGAGCCAAACTGTGCCGTGCCCATCCCCCTACATTGGGACCACTTGTGGCCCCTCCCAATGCTCTAAGGCTAGGCTTCTCTGCCCTTCAGTAGGGGCCTAGACCTTTGCAGACTGCCTGGATCTAGTCTCCATGTGGTGGTAAGTTCCCAAATCCTGCTGCGCCCATCCCAACATTGGGACCATGTGTGGCCTCTCCCATTGCTCCAGGGTTACACTTTTCTGCTCTTTATAGGGCCCCAGATCTTTGCAGATTGCTGGGAGTGACTAAATGGGCCCCCCTTAGTGAGCTTCCAAAATTGTGCCGTGACTGCTTGCTAGTAGGGGCCCAGACCTTAGAAGGAAGCCTGAGAGTAACCTGACTTTGGCCTCTGC